TTCTGTCTCCGTGCAGCATTACAGCCTGGCAGAATGGTTGTTTAATCATGAGTGTGGACCCCCAGGACAGCAGCAGCGTAATGAACTGGCTGGCTGGGGTCACCTTTAGAGGAGAGACGAGGCAGGAAAAAACACATCACTTATACTGAGCACTCACATTTCCTTGCAGAGGACGCCGATACGCTGGTTTTCTGAGCTGCTTCGCTCCTTGGACAGACTGAGCTCCTCCTGGTATTTGGAGTTTTGCTGTTTCAACGCCTCAAGCTGGAGGGAGAGCAGACACAGATGGAGGCACCAAGTTATTATATCCACACTTACAACCTTGTTACGCTCAAGCCCCATTTAGACTGGATTTATTTCTCTAAGGGAAATGGGCTGATTTTAACTTCACCTGTGTTGGTCAGTGATTTTCTCATCTGAAGCACTCATGAGCAGATTTCATCTGAGATATAATTACAGCTGCAGTTACCTGAAGTTTATTACACTCGTGTTTGGTCCTTGTGTGATTTAAATCTCGTCCACAGCGACGTTCTTGAATCTTAAAGTGGCTGACTGAGCTGTTTTCTGCAGGAACAGCTGCTTGTCCTCACACTTTATCAGCTCAGTGTGAAATTAGATTTCTGCATGAAAATTAGACATTTATTCACAAATCTGGAAACATTCCAACGCCAATATACCAGCTACTAGGCTGAAAATTAAAGCCATCAGTAGAATGTGAGATCTAGCGCTGATATTTTCCTTAAAGACCTGTGCTTTTATTTATTTTATTACATGTGTTTGTTTACCTTTTTTTAAGCCACTAGTAGAATTTCCTAGTTGCAGTGTACCCATAGATATACCAACAACTATGACTGGATTACTCTGACACTGAAGAAAACTTACAGATGTAATGATTCTCCTCTGGCGGTAGAATTTCAACATAAATGTACGGACTTTTATTTGAGACACACATCAGAGATAACGATGGAGCTGTAAGTTATTTTGTGTTTGTGTGTCCTGAATTGGAATAAAACAGAATAAAATGGGCGCATTAAGGCACACCCAAAAAGAAGCCTTCAAAACACAAAGTGACTCGTCATGACTACGAGAAGGACTTAGATTTTTTTTTTTTTTTGAGGACTTTTGTTTGTTGTTTTATTTTTTTGTGCAGTGCAGTAGAGGCAGACACAAAATGAAACTGTGTCCCAACCATTTGGACATTTTAACTTCAACACTCTCTCTCTTTTGTTTCGGCTGTGTCCTGGTGAATGTGCATCGCTGTGACCAACAATATCCCAGAGTTAAAATGTAAACAATGAAACTCCTGAGGAGCACAGTGAAAATGTCTTTCCCCATGTCCCCCTGTTAATACTCATCCTATCCACATGGAAGCTACTTTTACAGCTTTTTGAAACTTGTCGTATGCTATAGCCTACACTAAAAGTATCTTAACCTCTTACTGCTGCCTTGATTTTGATTGTTAAAATCTGTCACTGATATGTCCTCCACCTCAGCTGTAGTCCACCTTTAAACAGTCCCATGTAACAGTCAGCAGCATGTTGAACAGATTGACTCTTTTTGTCTAATTGTGTTTTTATTTCTCTTCTAAACAACTCAACCAGCAACTCTATCGATTATTTTCATCATTCATACATTTTCTGATTGTTTTATTCATAAACTAATTACCGATTATAAAACGTCAGCCAAAGTCAGTAATTTGCTAATTTTGTCTGACCAACAGTCCAACTGTGATCCAACTGCATATGTGGATATTAACAACACATGGACTTGTCCCTCCAAAACAAAAACACTGTGCCTGAAATGTGTGTTTACCTTCACATAAATAAAGACATTTCCACCATAATTTAAGGCAGAAAAGGAAATCGGTGCACAAAAAAAATCACAAGAATGCAGAAAATTCTTGAGGAAGTTAAAATCCCCTGCTTGATGTGCCAAACCCACCCCAGTGTTCAAACTAAATCCACACCCATGGCAGTTTAAATTCAGCTGGGGACCTTTGCTGCACCTCTTTCTGCCTCATTTCAACCAATTGCTTGAGCTCTGCAACACAACACATGCATACATTCGCCACAGTGTCCCTAATACAAGCATCTGCTTCCAAGGAGAAGCTGCTGTGAGAGAAGAGAAATTCTGGGTCATTAGGAGTGAAACCGAGGGTGATACTTAAAATACACAACCCTTAGATATCCCTGACGAGCCAGAAGACAGCAGCATGAGCTAAAGCCACGTGAAACTAAAAATAAAAGCCCCAGAAACAGCCGCTCTTTTAACTTCACCTTAAGCAAACTTTGTGCCTCTCATTTGAGTCGGACGTCTGGGATTCCAAACACGTCTGAAATCACTCGTGACACTTCAAAGAGCTTGTCAGACACGTGCAGCATCGTGATAGCAGCAGCTTTAGGATGGCTATGGTCAATAATTAATTAACAACAGTGAAGTCAATGCCCTTGCTTCAGCTGGCATCACAGACGCCATGCGTAGTATGTTTCTGTTTGCACATTAACACATCAGGTGTGAGCATGGGGTGAGTTTTTTAACGCTCAGTGTGAGATCTAGTCTGCAGAGCATGCACACGCAAACACATAAACATACATGAACGCACACAAACATGCAGAGTGTCTATCTCTTCAAGTTCAATTATCTGAGGGGTTGCAGGCAGAGGCTTGACGGGAAACAAAGCAATGATAAACAAAACAATAATTTACACTAAGACTCCTGCTTACAGTGACAATGAATTGCTACTGTGCAGGCATGTGACTGCAACACCTCTCAGTGTGAGTCCTGTGCTAAATAGCAAAACAGACATCCTACCTGATAGTGAGGCGAGTAGATGCTGCTGGAGTAACCCTGATGCAGGGCAGCTATGTCCATACCTACACAGCTAAGCACTGCCGGATTTGTCAACTCTGTCTACCTGCTAAACGGCAGCAGTGTTGTTACTGTGCCTCTGCTCTCGCGCTCTCTGTAACACGCAGAGTCGAACACCAGCTGGGCATCAATAAACCATCAGCTCTTGTCCCCCACTGTGCACGGCTGTGAGAGGGAAATGGAGAGCGTGTCGCCTGAGCAGCCCCTCTCTCTCTCTCTCTGTCTCTCTCTCGCTCTCTGACAGCCAAGCACTGACATTATGTAAGCTGGAGTAAGCTCCTCCCCAGCCTTAACCCCACCACCTTCCTGCAGCTCACAATCTTGTTTGCTCACAACATATGTACACTCACTCCTCAGAAGGCTGTGCCGTTCATTCATAGTTTAGAGCTCAAATGGAAGAATCAGCCAGTTACTGCACCAAGGTCTGATCAAAACAACTAACCACTTCGGACGACCACTATTTTTTTAATTGGTTAATCTATTAACCACTTTATTGATTAGTCAATTAATCAAACAGAATTTTCATNCGGATATGCCTGTACCGTCCAGTAATGCTGCATTATACGTTCATGTCTGTCCAGATTTGTATGATATTTGTGATAAAAACTTTGAAGGAATTTAATAGATGAAGATCCAATATCATTAAAACAGTATCTGACCAAATGTGACATATGGTCACAATCTTTCCTTCTGTTCCTGAGCTATGGTGTTCATTAACCAGAAAAGTGTTTTTGCAGGACATTATGGAAACATTTTATCTCTTTGTCCTCCACATTTATTCTATATAGAATTTCTAAAATGTCTGTTTCTTTAGAATGAAGCCTGTCATCACATCTGAGCAAATTTTCTTTATCAGTCTGCACATTCAGTTCAGATATTTTAACATGTGATTTACAGATATGGCATATTGGATTACCGGTAGTGTAACAGTGATTCGTGTGGACTCCCGTATGGTTTTCCTGCTGCTGTTACTTTTTAACGTAGCTAGAAGGACACCTGGAGTGCGCAGTCCTTCAACAAGGCTGACTATTAATCTTACAAATTTGAAGGCAGTGATCCGGATCTGCACCAAAATTTAAACACTCTACCCCTCCAACAAGATTCATGAATTTTAACCTGGTAGTTTTGTGTAATCCTGCTTACAGACAAACAAATGAAAACATTCCATTAACTCTGATGTAGAGTTACAGTGACAGGATGCAAAGCAGTTGTGTGCTCACACAAACGGCGCGTGTTGACAGCAGCTCACAGTGAAAGTCCTATTTTTTCTTGTTGGTGAAAAATGGTCAAACCTGTGATTAAAAGGCCATAATAAGATCTGAAACCATCACACCTCTATGGATTTTAAGGACCTGTGAGTGATTTTCTCTCATGAGCAGAAAATGTATACCTGAAAATTTAACACGATGGAAATTCTATATTTTGAGGTTTTATCGCTCATCCCCTCTTGTTAGTATCAGGTAGCCAAAAACATTGAGTGTGACTTAAAACCTTTGGCTTTTGTCTGAGGAAGTCACGAATCCCGTATTTATATATATATATGATCTGTTGCAATAAAGATCTCTGATGGACACGTGCTCTTTGTGAATTTGCTTTTTTCCCCCAGAATTTCCACAACATATAACATGGATTCTACTTGTGATTTGCAGTTATGGACATTAAACCTGGATGTCCACCATTTTTAACTAACAGTTCCAGTTAGTGCTCATGGTTTAGAAATGTTTTATACAGAAGCCATAAGAGCCAGGAGACATTCTTTACTCCTATTATGAGTATTGTGCATTGTACTTCACTCCATCATCACATCCATAATCACATAATAGCATGCTCAGGCTAATTATGTGCTTTACACAACATTTTATAGCATATTTACAAGTGGGAGCCAGTCCCTAGAGAGGTACAGCTGAAGCCTCTGTAAAAACACATTTGACATTTCAGTTAGAGCATTTTTTTTTCTCAATGCGATTCAGTCAGGTTCTGTCTCCGTGCAGCATTACAGCCTGGCAGAATGGTTGTTTAATCATGAGTGTGGACCCCCAGGACAGCAGCAGCGTAATGAACTGGCTGGCTGGGGTCACCTTTAGAGGAGAGACGAGGCAGGAAAAAACACATCACTTATACTGAGCACTCACATTTCCTTGCAGAGGACGCCGATACGCTGGTTTTCTGAGCTGCTTCGCTCCTTGGACAGACTGAGCTCCTCCTGGTATTTGGAGTTTTGCTGTTTCAACGCCTCAAGCTGGAGGGAGAGCAGACACAGATGGAGGCACCAAGTTATTATATCCACACTTACAACCTTGTTACGCTCAAGCCCCATTTAGACTGGATTTATTTCTCTAAGGGAAATGGGCTGATTTTAACTTCACCTGTGTTGGTCAGTGATTTTCTCATCTGAAGCACTCATGAGCAGATTTCATCTGAGATATAATTACAGCTGCAGTTACCTGAAGTTTATTACACTCGTGTTTGGTCCTTGTGTGATTTAAATCTCGTCCACAGCGACGTTCTTGAATCTTAAAGTGGCTGACTGAGCTGTTTTCTGCAGGAACAGCTGCTTGTCCTCACACTTTATCAGCTCAGTGTGAAATTAGATTTCTGCATGAAAATTAGACATTTATTCACAAATCTGGAAACATTCCAACGCCAATATACCAGCTACTAGGCTGAAAATTAAAGCCATCAGTAGAATGTGAGATCTAGCGCTGATATTTTCCTTAAAGACCTGTGCTTTTATTTATTTTATTACATGTGTTTGTTTACCTTTTTTTAAGCCACTAGTAGAATTTCCTAGTTGCAGTGTACCCATAGATATACCAACAACTATGACTGGATTACTCTGACACTGAAGAAAACTTACAGATGTAATGATTCTCCTCTGGCGGTAGAATTTCAACATAAATGTACGGACTTTTATTTGAGACACACATCAGAGATAACGATGGAGCTGTAAGTTATTTTGTGTTTGTGTGTCCTGAATTGGAATAAAACAGAATAAAATGGGCGCATTAAGGCACACCCAAAAAGAAGCCTTCAAAACACAAAGTGACTCGTCATGACTANTTTAATTGGTTAATCTATTAACCACTTTATTAATTAGTCAATTAATCAAACAGAATTTTCATTTCCTCCAAAAAAGCAAAATCACCATTCAATTGTACCCTTAAACACTAAGCAGTTTTTGAATGTGTTTTTGCTTCTGTTACATTTTTATTTACTGTGCTGTGCACTGGTAAAAAGAAAAAAAAGGTCTAGGGGCGTCACTATAGCTGACCTGATTGAGCTGGTGTCCCATGTATAGGGGCTATAGCTCCCAATGCAGCAGTCATGGGTTCGAGTCCCGCTGATGACCCTTTGCTGGAGGTCCTTCCTCCATTTCTACCCCCACTTTCCTGTCTCTCTCTCTGTCCTATCTAATAAAGGCACAAAAGGCCAAAAAATATCTTTTAAATAAAAGTCCAGGTGAAAATCAAAGTGGAAATTTTAAAAAACTGTGGAAATCTGGCAGTGCCCAAATATTTTTTTTTTAAAAAAAGCCCAACTACAAACAGCAAATATCTTAAAAAACAATTATTCTTTAGCTGTAGCCAGAGAACCCAGAGAACCCAGAGAGAACCCACGCTGCACGGGGAGAACATGAAAACTCCACGCAGAAAGATCCCGGGATGCGAACTAGGGATCTTCTAGCTGCGGGGCAATGATGCTAACCACCGAGCGACCTTGCAGCCCCAGTTAAAGACATTTTTAATTTTGCAATCCTTATAATAAACATATATTAACATATAATAAACACAATTTGTCTTTTAAACAGCAATAATACAGCAAATATCTGTATATTGATTTTTTTTAAAAACTTAAAAACAGTAAAAAACTAAAAACAAAAAACAAAAAAATATGGTCAAACATTGTAAATTTTTTTGTTTTTAGGAAATATTTAAATGAGCATAGAAAGACACAGAAAGAAGTAATTATGATAAAATATTGAGATTTTAAGCTTGGATTTGACAAATGTCCCAACAGCCTTTCAAACCCACCTGTGGGGTTTAGATGGTTAAATTAATTTTATTTTAACAAGCTGTATGTCATTGTACACAAGCGCACACACAAGTTTTTAGATTGATGTGCAATACTGTCGCGTTGAACTGGCAACTTGGCAAATCAAAAGCAAGGCGCACTATTTAGGTCAATAGTGCAACTGCAAAAGAAATCCAAGATTTTAACAGAAAAATCTGTAAATGAGAGCAGTTTTATTGGGAATTCAGCTGTATTAAAATACAGTACATGTGAGCACAGAATGTAGTGAACAGATGTAAAGCGCCTCCTGTGGGTTTCTCTTCAGTTGTTTGTACATTGTCTTGTGCTGCAGTGGTTTGCCACCGAAACTCAGCACAGTGTGCGCACTCCCTTTTTTGTTCTGTGAAAACTTGAAATATTCCCAGACTTTCAAAGCCTTTAGGTCTTTTTAAACTTTTAGTCTAAACAGAGTTGGACTCTGCAGCAGCTGCCATTGTCTAAAACTGTAGCGCACCTGACTAATGACTGGAGCCAAAAACAAGTGACGTCACGATGCAGCAATTACACAGTGACATGGAGAAAAACATTTGTTACAGTAAATTAAAGTCCTTTAGAAAGAAATTATAAAACCACACATTGGGTTGAAATATTGATGTTAACACATTTTCAGCATCGTTGACTATGCCCGCTGATTGCAGCAGCCCTACAGCCATTCACAGTTCTAGTCTCCCGCACTCTTTCACCGATGCTTTACAGCAACTGTACACAGAGGGTCCAACCACAACCTGCAACTAACCAATATTTTCATGATCAGTTAAGGTCTCTGCAGTCATGTATGGATGAAAAAAACACTCAGATGTTGTTGTTGTTTGCTACCTGAGGCTGTGGTGTACAAGGTTGTGGAAAACAAATGCGCCTACATGTAGACTTCAACATACAGGTTAGGTTATTACTCATCAAGCTCTACACGGTGAAGCACCTGAGCTCATAGATGAAATGTGTCCATACACTTAGTTTAAGGATACTTCCTAATGTGACTGCTATGTATCTATCATTCATGCTGTGGCAGACGAGGAGTAACGAGCACAAGCTTCCTGCAGCTTTTACATGATCATTTGAAGCGTATGTTTTCTGAAATCTACAAACTGAGATCTACATTCAGGAATACTTGCCGGCTGATAAATGATTTAATATATTCATCCACCAAGATGAAACGCCTTGTCCAACACAATACTGTCTTTTCATACAATTGTCAAGGGAATTTGAAGTAAACTCTTGAAATGTCAATTCTTTTTTAAGTGTATTAGGCATGTTTCCATCAGCCACTTTGGAGCATTAACAATTTGATGCAGTTTTGCTGATTTGCAGAAAATCCACCAAACCTGCGCTGATGTACTGTGTATTACTGTCATCAACCTCTTTCTGTTTACTATCTAATAAAACAGAAAGGCTTACGGAATGACAGTTATATGAAGGCTAAAAAACAGAAAGCACATTCAAGTTCTGTCTCTATCTTGCGTTCTACTCCAACAGATCTACTTCAGGAGATTCAAAAGTCATCTGACAACTACCTCTAGTCAACTTTCTGCTTAATGAAGCCATCCAGGGTTGCAAATAGTCATCATTTTCATTAGTGATTAGTTTGTCACTATTTAAGTTCACTTTGTTACTTCAATAATATTTAGTTTTGGTCAGGGGAAATTTACATATCATAGCAGCTCAAAAGACATAAACAAAAGGAGAAAAAGTGATGAGATACAAGCTATAAACAAGACAAAATACACAAGAATACAAATTAAATAATTAATTAACTAACAAGTAATTGATTACCAAGAGTATTAATTTCCTGTTAATCAGTCAGTTGAACCGCTAATTAGAGCCAGAAACTATAAAAACAGAAGAGTTGTCAGATGTTTAACTTTCCAACAGTTCTTGAACTATTTCTGTGTGACATGCAGCTCTGTAGAGACACTTAAATGACTCTAAGCTTAAAATCATATTTCATCAGTAATGCTTTTTTTAGATGGCTCAATGAAAAAAATCTGGGATTTTTTGACTGAACTGCAGGCTGTGTTTACACAGAGCAGACAGAGAACAGAATAGAATAGAATAGAATGTCCTTTATTAGACCCACAAGGGGAAATTTACAATGTCACAGCAGCAATGTGACCGTAAGAAAAGCAAGCAAACAACTATAAATTAAAAAGGCGACTATAAATTAAAGAGGAAATAAGCACAGGAATACATTATTCCAAGTGCCTACTTGGAATAAGTCCTTGTACATGCTGATTCCAGTTAGTTTTTTTTTGGTTGTTGTTTTGTTTTTTTTGGGTTTTTTTTTTTTTTTTTTTACCATTTTTGTTAAATAAATAGTCTAAGAAAGTCAACTTTCTTCTTCTTCTTCTTCTTCTTTTTTTTTAAATAATTCAAGTACAGCTAATTAAATCTGCCAGCAACAGTCACCAGTTCAGTCAGCAAAATCAACAGCTTGAAATGAGAAGCTGCTTTTGTCTACTTTGATATGAACTCCTAGAACTGGTTAAAATGTAAAGTGTAATTCTGCTAACATTATCAACGTAAACTGAAAACAGCATAGCAGGCATAGCAACTGTAAGTAAGTAAGGGGCAACAGAATATAGCAAGACCAAGGAATATAATACAGCTGATAACATGACATCATGGTGATTTCAGTGACTTCTGTTGTAGAAAAATACGTCCTCACATACTTCCTCTGAAGACCTGTGCTCACCTGCATCTCAACTCATAAATGAATCAACCAATCAACCAACTGTCTGACAGTCCAACAAGAGAGAGGCCGATCTCAAGTCAGCCGTTCATTAAGTAAATGGTCCATAAGTAAATGCAATGTTCTGTCCAGCCTCTCTCTCTCTCTCTCTCTCTCTCTCACACACACACACACACACACACACTCTGACATGTGCTGTATTACATCACAGCCTACATCATCATCATCATGGGTGAGCGGAGAGAGGAGGCAGCTGTAAGAGCGTCCCTGCTGAATCATTGCTCCACAACATGCGTTCCTCCGTGGACTCACAGGTTCTGCTCACTCTGTTGTAGCTACAAAAACATTTTCAATTTTTGATTGCAATCGTGTTTTGCTGAGTCGTTCTGCTGGGCCATCATTATTATTCATGAAGGCACCCTCCAAACACATGTGCCGGTAGATGCACTACCAGCCCTGTTTGTAATGTATTTATATACAATGCCTTTAATAATGAATGCATCTAAACTAAATGAAAAAAACAAACACTAAAAGCTTTAAGAGTTAACACAGCTGGTATTCTGCTTGGGTTTACATTTCTGCAATAATAATAAAGCAATTAAAATTATGCAACTCCACAATTATAGCAAAATGTATAAATAACAAAGAAGGCATGAAACATGTGTAATTTATGAAAACAGAAAAACACCAAAATTACTCCATTACACAATCAGTGCCAGAAACTACAAGAAAAACAAGTGAAGAAGAGAACAATGTCAGACTTTCAACCTCCCGATGGTCTTTAAACTAACTATGGGTGGCGTATAGTTCCATCGAGAAACCAAATCTAAGCTTAAAATTGTGATATTTTATCAAAATGACTTATTTCTACATGTCTAATTTTGAAATCACAAAAAAAAGAAAGTTTGCACAAGATTCTGTAAAAAGCAAAAACTTCTGTGCTACTTCACACAACCATGAGGCCATTAGTGACTCAACGGCAACCAACAGTCGAGTGACAAAAACTCAGGGCCTGAAAGCTGAGCTGAATGCTTTGTTCACACCAAGCAGACAGAAGACAAGTATAGAAACAAATGAAAAATGTAGGTCGTAAAATATCTGTAGTATGTAGACAGTAAATAATATGACAAGAGTTTAAAAAAATGCCAGAAACTTCTTGAAATTAAGCAGATATAGACATTTTAAAGTGTGTATCACTTATTTTGTCAGCAATTAACCAATGACAATGTTATTTTTGCATTTATTTATTTTATATATCAGCGATCCCTCCTCATGACTCCTAAAGTTCCCCTTAAGTAAATGTATTAGTTTGTATTCTCAAAGCTCAGCATGTCTTCTTGCAGTTTGCCACAAGCCTTTAATTATCAAAATTAGATTTTTTTTCTGTCAGTCACTTATTTATACATCTATTGCCTATGAATTATTTGAACATGTGTATAAATGCGCTATAATACACTGCAAAGAGTCAGCATCTTTGTGTTGTTATAAAGTTGAACACAGCTATGTTGCCCTGTTCATTTTTGAACTGTTAAGTTACAGAATTACAGTTGAAGTTGCAAAAATACTCTTTAAATCTCTCAAAGTTTCTAAAAGTTAAAGAGAAAATATTCCTCTGTGACTCTTGAGCAGCAGGAGAGCTGGGTTTTAAACATGTGCAGGAAAGGGGCTGCTGCCATGAAATGAAAAAAATAATTACTATCAAACAGAAAGCATGTTTATGTCTAATCTCCTATCCATTTCTCTCGCTATTATGAGCCTGACCATCTGGAGCTCACGGCCAGCTGCAGCCAGAGCAGAGATGAAAGTACAGTAGGCGAGGACGAGGGCACCAGAGGCTGAACCATCTACAGCAGGTGGACCATAGTGATAACAAGTGCCATGGACTGACTATGAAATGTTAAAAATATCAAGTTACAGATGGCAGTGAGAGTCAGAGAGATGTGGAGGCTGAGAGGGATGAGACACATGCGGAGATGGACCGTAGTATTTCATGCGTGGCTGATCCTGATGTGAATGCGCAACAAAAACCCTGCAGGCTAAAGATGCTGTGCTGATGTATGTGCATGTGCAAATTCTTACATCCAGCGTGCATGAAGCTCTCTGCACATGCTGGAAACGTCTACATGTTTGCATAAAATGAGCAGAAGTGGATGGAATAAACAGCGTGTTTATCTGCTTTAATGTAAGCTGCAATGGTTAGCATGTCTAACTCACAAGGAGAATCTTATCTGTTTGTAGGGTTGCAAATTATATTAAAATATGTTTGCAATTCACAGAATACTCCTGGGTGCTACTACATCATAGTGTAAGCTAACATGAGCAGAATTGGGCTTTGGGAAAGTTTACATTTACACACTCCAGTAACTGCAGCCAATGAGATATTATGACAACACACCAGTTAGAAAGAGTTTAAATATTAAGGTTAAGACCCTACAACAATATATATTGTACAAATCAACAACTAACTTGAGTCTTAACAAAGGTGTGAAAGGTGAAACGTCTTTCTTGCCTGTACCTAACAACCAAACAGGGTCATACTGAAACAAATAGCTTAGAATACATTTAACATTTTGCACTTAGGACTGAATTGTTCTAAACTGTAATATAAGAAGACACAAGTCTTTCACCTCCATGATGAACAGCTGAGGATGCTAACCAGTGCTGCCATATGTTTAATAACTATAATATTTGTAGGATGATTTAGCCCCAAATACATTCAGTAATTTTAACAACTTCTTCATGTATGACAATTTTGACACGTCATAGTATCAATTTTTTCTGTAATAGTGAAATCATACAGAGCTGATAGGGAACCAGTCTGACTGTTCACAGTGCCATAACCGTGTCAGTCGTGCATTACAGAAAACTGACTCTGGATCTGCCATTACTGAACCAAAATGTTAGCACAGATGTTGCCGCTCGCAACCTTTTGTTACTGTATTTAACAGGTTTGTCATCACGCTCAGTTTTGGTGTGGATATCCTCAAGCTTATTTTGATTCATAGTACATATGGAAATTTCGATAAGCAGACACTCAGCCTAAGGGCAATTAATCAGAGAGTATTGTGGAGGTTTAGCTAGCGACATCCATAACTAAATAAAAACATGTATACCTGTAGCTTATTTTGCTAACATACAGCAGGTCTTAGCTCCACTCAAACTCTACCTCTTTGCCCATTTTTGGATGAGCTGAGTCAGGTACTGTCAAGATGGTGAGGGCCAGAGTCACCACACTGAGCTTCAAAAACTGCTCTTAATGTAGATGTCACATAAGGGTCGTCCATCTTTGTAAAAAGTCAATGACTGGGACACATACAAGCTTTCAGCTTGTTAATCTGTGGATGTCCTCTGAACCACAGCACTTGTTGTGATGCAAATATGCCAAAAACTCAATGATTAATGCTTTTAAAAGTGAAATTGTACCATTTAACAAGAAAGAGTTCTTCTGTTTTGTGATTTGTGGCATCTATCAGCAGTGATGTTACCTTCAATCCACTTTGATCTGTCACTGCAGCTTCTGTCATCTATCAAATGAGCTGTCATCTGTCTGTACTCTCTCGGCAGCTCAAGCATGAGGCATTGTGACATTTGTGACAAATTTGGAGTCAGAGTGGCCAGAAAAGCACGCTGGCTTCAACACTGCAGTGCAGCTGGATGTACTAAGACATCCTGGTATTCTTAGCATTAATAATATAACTGATATATTATAACTCATGTGATAATATAACTTAAAACAGGACAGCACCATGTATTATATGCAGCTGTGGCTCCAGTGGTGAAGTTCATTAATCACATGGTTGGTGGTTTGATCCTTAGCGACACAATCAACCCCAAGTTGATTCTGATGACAGGTGTGCACCTTGGATAATAGTTGTCTCGCCATTTGTATGTCAGTAGGTGAATGAGAAATGCCAAGAGTCAAGCTAAGGTCAAAAGTTAAAAATCTGTTTGCATGATAAATCTTATACTGGCACACTATAAAGTAAAGTAATATGGGACACACTCTTAGCCTCAGTCTAAAACCTTCAAGTGCCTTTTTAATACTCCTTTACAAACGTCAGCTTAAAACATAAATGTAACCAACAGACAATGTTCTTAACTGACTAATGCAGCTGACTTAACCTGTAAAGCAGCTACAGCTAATAAAACGTGCCAGGGACAGTCATCATGTCAGCCAGAAAAATCAACGACTTAAAACAAGAAGCTGCTTTGGTCTGAACAGATTCAACTGCTAATTTCGATGCAAGTTCTGCCACCATTATTAATGTAAACTGAAGCAGGCATTACAACCATAAGTCAGGGCGACTGGACTTAGCTAGAGTTAGATAAAGCAAGATAATATCACCTATAACATGACAGCATAGCGATTTCAGTGACTTTTGGTATCCATGGTCTTTGGATGTAGATAAATATGACCCCACATGTTCTGAAGACATGTACTCACCTGCGTCTCCAGTGTCTTATTCTCATTGGTGAGCTGCTCCAGCGACAGCGCCGTCCTCTCTGACTTGTCAGTAGCCTGGAAAACATAATGTGGACACAATAAACATAATGTTTCACACAGCAAACTCTGCATACTCTAATACATCTATACATACATTCTAATACATTATTGACTTTCCCCTATCTATCTATCTATCTATCTATCTATCTATCTATCTATCTATCTATCTATCTATCTATCTATCTATCTATCTATCTATCTGTCTATCTAAATACAATTTGTTGCAAAAAAAAAAACAACCTCTCTAAGAAATATCTAAATAACTGTTTTTTGGTCAAGAAAGAAAAAATATTTTCATTAGTATGCAGTCAAAACAGTTGTTTTACTTTAAAATCATATTCTGAATTATTTTCTGTCATTAAAATTATATAGGAAAGGAAGTTCTTGCACACATTAGCTCTAAAAATCAATATTCTATTAATATACTGGAGAGATCAGAGATGATTAAGAATTGCAGCTAAAAAAGGAGAGACGGCACTTTGCTGTGCCAGCCTCAAGATTCTGGTGCTGATTCACTTTCTACATTCAGCTGTAATGAGTCTTAAGAAGCAGGAGTATGAAAGCTCTGGCTTTAGGGAAAGAATGAAATGCTCTCTTGTGACTGCAAACAAACTGCACTTTCAACTGGGGTCTTTTTTAGAAACATGAAAGTAGCAGAAAGAGACTCCATGTATCCACTGTTATGGCAATTTAGTACCTGGGCTTTCAGCCTGTAATGGCAAACTGTGAATGCACTCTTACCATCCTTTACTACTGCATTGTTGCACCTGCATTTACAGTGTCTGGCATGTGCAAAAACTACTAAAAGAAATGTAAGAGCATAAATACTAAATGAGAAGATCCAGACTGTTCTTGTAGCTAGAATTTGTTTAAAGGTACAGAAGGGATGAAAGGTGAAAAGTACGGCAACAACATCCATCCATCCATCCATCCATCCATCGTCTAAGCACTGCTTAATCCTCTGTGGCGTCCAGTAGGGACTGGAACCTGGGAGGACGCCAGAGAACTGGAGAGAACCCACACTGCACAGGGAGAACATGCAAACTTCCCGCAGAAAGATCCCAGGCCCAGACCGGGATCTGGCTGTGAGGTGACGGTGTTAACCACCGAGACACTGTGCAGCCCGTCAACAACATTTAAGAAGGAAATGTCTGGAAACAGTATTAAAGAGAAACGTGCAGAGCAAAGGTTCCCAACCTGGCAGCCAGTCTGAGTCATTGTGAAGTGACATTGTGGCTTTTCTAATCTTTTTTTATTATTATTGCAAAACAGTGAATAGTTTTACCTCATCCTACCTCTAAACCCTATACACCTATAATAATTGATCTCTAGTTGACCTGCTCAGAACTCACACACATATGTAACCTGTGACGAGGCGTCATGTGTGGGCACCGTGCTTATAGCAAATTAAATCAGCTTTTACTTCCAATCACATTAAAAAGATTCTGAAAACATATTTTCTTAATCACCCTCTTAATATGAGTCATGAGGTGGCACCAAAACAATAAATCTTGTGCCAATGTATTTTGTTGAACATGCAAGTTTGCATGTTCTCTCTGTGCAGCGTGGGTTCTCTCCGGGTTCTCTGGCTTCCTCCCACAGTCCAAAAACATGTTGAGGTTAATTGGTGATTCTAAATTGTCCGTAGGTGTGAATGTGAGTGTGCTTGGTTGTCTGTAGTCTTGTGTCAGACTGGTGACCTGTCCAGGTGAACCTGCCTTCACTCTAAGTCAGCTGGGATAGACTCCAGCCCCCCTGTGACCCTAGGGAGGATTAAGCGGTGTATAGATAATGGATGGATGTTTTAACAACACATGTAGAAAATGTGTTTGATGAGATATTACAATTTTCTGTTTAACAGCAGATTGCTCTACAAAAGTCACGTAGAACATCACAGCACAATTCATTCAAATTGGATTCTCACCCTAAAACAGAAAAAACATGTTTATAATATTGTTTCTACAGTGCATAGGACACATAAAATGCTACTTATCCAGTACTCATTCCACAGAGTCTAGCTGCAGATTGCTTTCACTTCTGACCTCACAAAACATTTCACACAAATGTCAAACAGAAAAAAATTATGGAGTGAAGACATTTTATATCCAACAGGCTAGCTTCACTGTGATATCATAATGTTCTGGAAAAACCCTTTTTTGGCCGCTATTCAGCACCACAACTCAGGAACAGATGACTCTTGCATTTGACTACCAAAATCTCATCAGGTCATCCTTGACTCCACATGAATATATCTCATTAAAAAATTCCTTAACCCTTTTGACACTCTAGCCCGCTATACCAGGCTGGCATTACAACTCCCGTTCAACACTGCAGACTGTCATATCGGTCTGTGGCTTTCACCGCTGTTCAACACTGCAGCCCGGTATAGTGCGCTCCAGTATATGGCCGGTGTATGCATATGACAAGAGTAAACTTCCATATATATTTAACCGTCAACTTGTCTACTTTTGATTGATACCAGATATGTAATGATGTGAAGCCTACGTAAGAGTTTATGAGTGATTAATCAAAACCATATCTGATCATGAATTTCCAGCCAAAGATACTTACTGTTAAAGTGTATATGGAATACAGATTTACTTAGTGTTGAAAGGGTTAAAAGCACTCAAAAGAATGGGATGGACAACTCAAAACACAATACCTAAATCAACAACTGTTACAGGTGCAGAGGCATGAAATATTCTTCTTCATGCTCTTTATATAACTCAACTAACATTTACATGCAGCACCTCTGAATTATGGCAACACTGCAAATTACACTTAAATCGTGTAGACAAGCAGCCACAGCTGATAGACTCAACAAGACCGTAAAGCTTGAATAAAAAAGACTGGCCGCCTCCGTAGAGTTATTAAACACAAATGGGGGTGAGCGTAATGTGTGCATGTGTGTGTTAGTAATGTTTTAACAACACTCAGTTGGCCTGAGGCATCAGTCGGCTTTCGAGTAGGAGAGCTACGATGAGTCTGAATGCAGAAATACTGGGAAGGAGGATTACTTCAGGATAGATTATTACAGGAAATGCTGCTCGAAGCTTCCAAACTTAAACTAAAAAATGTTTCCACTTTCTGTCTACAAACCACCGATCATGTGATCATTTGAAGCAAACTGAGGAATCTCAGTGAGAATCAGCAAACACTCTGATTCACTGTCTGCTAAAGGTGCTTTTTCTAAGTCTACACCTTCAGTAACACCAACAGTCAAAGTACACTTGAAGTCTTTAAGAGCAGCAAAGCAAAAACAAGAACGATTTCATTATGTTAATGTACAAAAATGCTAACATTTAAAAGTGTGCTGAACCAATCATATGTTGTGTTGTTACTGCAGAATTTTAACTGGGCACCAGCAAAAAAACATACTTTCAAAGGCTCAAAAGTAAAAGTATAATAGAAAATTTGACCCTATGAATGAAATGGTATTGTTATATGCTGTTAGACGGCTACTAGTAATTCAAAAACATGTACGTAGCAGTTTATTATTGTGGTGGGCTGTGATTTATTTTTTGGTCCTGTAGTTTCCTGCAATGTTGTTTCATGTAACTTGTAAATTCACCAGAAAGTTGTTGGTGAAAACTTTTACAATTCAGTATGTTTCTAAATGCTGTATTGCCTTCTATCATCATGGACAACGTTAGATCAGTGGATAATAAGACAGTCCAGCTAATGCACTGGTGAGGAATCAAGTGATGGACTACTGTCAGTGTGCTGCTATGCGTTTCTTAGACATGGCAACAGAAATCACCCTGGACTCCTTCGTTACGATAGACTGCTTTCAGACAGTTCAGGGAAAAACAATAAGTCTGAGATGGGCAAGAAAAGAGCTGCTGGGGCTGCATGATATTTGAAAAAATTGACATTTGTTTGTCTGCGATGCATATTGTAATATAAAAAAAAATACAGGAATTATCACCAGACAACTTGAACAACTATTTGGGAGAAAAAAAAAATCATTGTTCTGGATTGATCGTTGTGATTCTGTCAGGGAGTGCATCTGCAGTGAAAATAAGAAATGACTTTTTAAAAAGCTGTTGGGAACCTTTTTCTTACAGTGTAACACTGGTAAAGAGTTTCAGAATAGTTTTTTGCTTTGAATGTCATTCAGATCTGACTTTGCACTCACCATACAAAGCTTTGTGGTGGTGATTTAAATGGTCAAAACAAATTCACCAAGTTGCTTCATGTGGTGGAGACACTACAGACAGCGAGGCTGATTTGTTCAACATCATTCTTTTTATAGCCTGTTTTGTGGCTACAAAAATAAAGAAAAAGGAGAGTTTTCCTTCTCTGTCATTTAAATAAAACCACATTTAAAACATGGCATCCCAACAAAACACTGCTGTTTAATAGCTATCACAAGCCAGAAAGTTTAATGTAAAATCTACCATACAAATGAAGAAGAGCAAAAAATATACAGATGCATCAAATTAAAATGCTCAAGTAAAGTACAAGTACCTGAAACTTGCAACTACAGTGCAGTGCTTTAGTAAATGTACTCAACTGCTTTCCACCACTGACTTCATGTCTAAACCTACCTGTGTCAGCTGGGCTCTCAGCTCTTTCTCTCTGCTCTGACTCTCCTCTGTCAGGGTTTGGGAATCTTTCTTTGAACGCTCCACGCTCTGCTCCAGCTCTGAGAGAAAACACACAGACAACATCAACTATGACCTGAACAAAGAAAGAAATGAATCAAACATAAAGCCAGTAGAAACACATCAGATGTGTCAACCTTGCATGGTCTTTGCTGTCCTCCTGTTCTCCTCTTCAGCTGTCTCAAGCTGTTGTCTCTGCAACGGAGAAACATCAGCGTAACTGCGAGCTAATCACTTTCATAGCAACATTCCTGTACCTTGAGCTAACCGGGGAATAATGACTGTGTCCAGAAAACATGCAAGGTTTTTGGATGAAATGCCTCTCTTAATGAGGCCACGTTCACAATGCCCATGAGCAAAACACCTCACATTGAAAAAGTAAGACTGCACAATTCTGCAGTTACAAAAAAGACCCCCACAAATGCACTTCATTGGGAAAACATTGATCGATCCATTCAGTATCAATACAGTCCTCACTAGGGTCGCGGGGGGCTGGAGCCTACCCCAGCCGACTTAGAGTGAAGGCAGGGGACACCCTGGACAGGTCACCAGTCTATCACAGGGCTACACTTAGAGACAGACAACCAAGCACACTTACATTCACACCTACGGACAATTTAGAATCACCAATTAACCTCAACATGTTTCTGGACTGTGCGGGAGGAAGCCGGAGAACCTGGAGAGAACCCACGCTGCACGGGGAGAACATGGAGACTTCACACAGAAAGATCTCAGGCTTCCTAACCTGGACATGAACCGGGGATCTTCTGTGAAAACATCCATGATGCAATTTTAAGCAGGCTTTGTGTTTCAAAGTCACTTTTCTTTGAGCTATGACAGAAATATGATCACGTCTTGACTTTGTAATGGTCATGTGGCATTTGTACAGGTGACACAGTTATGTACTATTTTATTTGTTTATCAACAGCGTGCTATTCTGCGCCTCTTGATGATGGATTAATGTGCAAGCCACTTCTAGGCAAAAAAAAAAGAGAATGAAAAGAAAATGCAGGCTTTTAAATGTAAACATTGGAACTAACTCGCCTAATGTTTTAATGTCAAAACAATTATTTACTATATTTTTTTCTTTAGAGGTTTATTTCTATGTACTCGTCATGCTTGTCCTTTCATTTGGCAAAATCAATGGTTGAGAGCTAAAAATAAAAGCCGCCAAATTTTGATGTGTAACCTGCCATGGTTTTTATTGTAAACTGTAACGCTCGAGCTGCAAGACAGGCAAGTGCAGGAACAATAAATAGGGGATCAGTCTTGCCAAATTGTTAATACAGACTTGTTCTGTGTTCACAACTCTGGAAAGTGACCAATATAGTGATTCATTTGACTTCATGGCTGAAAAACAAATTGATTTTCAAGACTGAAGATTGCAGAACATAAGAATGCCGTTTGTACTAAGAAGCTGGATTATGTACTGACCCATCATTATAAAGTGAATGCACTAAAAAAAACTGAATAAACTAAAATTCTCAGGTACTCAGGCGATTTCTACATCCCCTAGAAGACAAGACATTATATTTGAAATGGAAATGAATGTATCTTTCTTTAAATATGTGCGGTGTTTCCTACTAAGTCCCTTTAAGTGAGATGCAGTTATATTTGCTGTGACAAAACGGCCTTTATTAGATGAAAGTGACCTCCAGAACCTGTCCATCCCATGAGAAACAGCTGAGTGCAGGCATTTCAAATGTCTTCACCACCACTCCCTCCTCTTGTTCTCATAAAGGCAGGCTTTGTGTGGAAATGTTAGTTGCTGGCCTTTCAAAGCTCTTTGTGTTACGGTTTCTTTTCAAATCCTGACACAATCATTTTATCGTTTGATGCAGCAATTGTAGTTTAACCGTGGAAATACAATGTTCACTTCACAAAATAAAGATTGTGTGCTTTTATGCATCAGGCTTGCAGCAGCATGTCTGCTTGCACTGCAGCAAAACTGGAGCATTTTTTTGTAGGTCAACTCTGACTTGTTTTCTCAAAGTCTTCTGGTCCCCATGATAGATTCACTCATTTCATGTGCCACGAAATAAGATTGCTGTTTTACCTTATGAAAATGTGTTTTTTGTGAAGATTTGAAGTCCTTTTAATGATTGAAGGCTGTGTTTGTTGATTTATGTGCCTCTTTTGACTTTATGCAGGGATATGTTAAACGATAACTTTAACTACTTTGAAGACCTGAAATTACAATTTAAATTGAAAAAAATCTTGACCAGGTTAATGTAATTGTGGTGAGAAGTTAACCAAAAGTAAAGGGAGAAACAGTAAAAGAAACAGATGAATTGTTGAAACACTGATCTAAATATTGATATGTATATCTGCAATCATTTTCATGCAAATAGAAGATCCCCGTTTTACGTCCAGGTGCGGACGCCTGGGCTCTTTCTGCGTGGAGTTTGCATGTTCTCCTTGTGCAGCCTGGGTTCTCACTGGCTTCCTCCCACAGTCCAAAAAACATGCTGAGGTTAGCTGGTGATTCTAAATTGTCCGTAGGTGTGAATGTGAGTGTGCTTGTTTGTCTCTAAGTGTAGCCATGTGATAGACTGGAGACCTGTTCAGGGTGTCCCCTGTCTTCACCCAAAGTTGATAGATAATGAATGGATGGATGGACATTAATGAGGCCAATGTGTAAACTTGTCCAAGGCCCCTGCAGGACAGCAACCTATGTGTAAAACCCTGAAAGCCAGTATTACTACAATTATTATTAGTATTATTATTATTACTATTAACAGACAGAACAGGGTGTCTAAGTGCATTGTCATTTTTCTGAATGTCACAGAACAGTTTTTCTCTGCTGTGTTCACTTATGATGCACTGAGTTTTCTTCCTTCTTACCAGGCTGGTCAGCTGCTGTTCAACAGAGGTCTTATCTTGCTGCACAAACTGAAGCTCTTTTTGTTTACTCTCCAGGTCGACACTCAGCTCACTGATCTGATGGGGACAAGTATAGAATGTATAGCTGAGAAGAGCCATAAATTATTCATTATCACAGGAGCATCAACAACACACATAGGAAGGACTGAAAGGAGGCTTGAAAACAGAAATTATACAAATTCTACATGATGCCATAAATGAATCCCTCTAACAAGCAGACTGTGTTATATCTTTATATAGTTGGTGCAGCTGAACAAAACACCTGTGCTGGGAATTCTCTGGTACTTTCCACAAACCTTTTTCTCCTGGGACTGAACCTGAGCCTTGAGGCTGCTGATCTGCTGCTGCGACAGAGACGCAGCATCCTCTTTTTGCTGGGAGGCCCGGAGCCTGAGCTGAAGATCCGCCACTTCCCTCTCCAGTTCCATGATCCTGGAGCGCTCTGACACTGTAGCCACCTGCACCAGCACAAAATGTAAAGAGGTAGGATGAGGGCAAAGAGGAGACGGAGGCTGGAGAGAAGAGATTAGCAGTGGTTGCTCAATATCATCTGATCAACAGTCCAAAACTCAAATATATTTACATTACAGTTATATAACAAAGGGAAAACCGGTATTTGAGAAGTTGGAATCAGTAAAAATGACTGGACACCCTGAACTGCAAAACTGGTTGGTAGGTTTCAAACACGTGTTGTCTTCGAAACAAAATCACCAAAATGACACCAATTATCAAAACTAGACCTTTCTGACAGTCCTTGAACTACTCATATAGGACATGTTGTAAGGCTTGTTGTTTCCCACTGTTCCAAGTCTTTATTCTGATCCAAGCTTACTGGCTGTTGGACATGGTTACAATGCCATAAATCTTAACAAAAAAGAAAAGAAAGAAAAAAAAAACAAGGTTAAGTTTCTTTGAATATTTATTTTACAGAAATTAAAAAAAAAAAACCTGAAATCAACACATGCAATACTGTTCCAAGTCCCCACAGATGTTGCAAATACTTGAAGGAATGAACCCTACATATTAAAGATACTTAAGTATTTACATGTTTAATTTGTTTCTATATTTGTCTCTTCTTTGGTCCATGTAAACACAACCTGCAGTTCAGCTGAAAATTCCCCTTATTGTTTTTCATGTGACTGTTGGGTTTTTAATTTTAAGCCTAGTTTTAGTTAAGTTTCCCATCGAACAATGTGTGACAGATGAGAACTTCAAGGAGCATTAGAAAGTTGAAAAATTGGCAGTTGTTTCTGTTTTCACTGTTTCTGATGAATAATGCAAACTCGGTGAGTGATTTCAGTGATTTTTTTCAATATAACATGTCGTTCAAACCTGTCGGGATGTTTTGGGGTTCAGATGGTTTATTTTTTCTAATGCAGTGCAGACAGGGTGGCATTTAAACCGACACGCTGTCGGTTTAAGTTTCATCATTGAACTTGTTGATGTAAAGAAAACGTCAAATAACGCCCAAAAGCACAGGCATCTCCAAACTATATCTTTCCATCAACTCTCATGCGCACATGCATGTTGTTCAGTGTGATAAACCTGGGTTATTAGAGAAGCTCGAGGCAGATGAGATGTTTATATCCCTGTGTTGGGTCTATAGACAATCTGCAGAGCGTTTCCGTGCTGCAGTTCCTTCAGTATAGGCTGTGTATCCGTATTAAACCTTGTGGGGGGAAAAGCGCATCTCTCAGTCCTGTGGTGTGGACTGCGACTGGCAGCATTACCCTAGTGTCCTCTAAATCCCTCTGGAGTTTTTCAGCTTTGGTCTTTTCAAAGAGCAGGCTCTGCTCAAGCTCCTTTATGTGGGCATGCTCCAGCCTGGTCTGCGTCTGTTAGTAAGAGAGAGCAGGAAAAGAAGGAGAACAAACACCAATGCAACACTGACATGCCAGCCATGTGCCAAAGACAGACAGAAGACAGGACTTTTAAGAGAAGAGCAGTAAGTAAGAAAGCACTGATGGTTTCCAGCATTTCAGTTACATCAGCTCAATCTGTTGTTTGAAATGTTCCAATCATCTCTCAGATTCTTCAGATCCTTTTGTTTGTGCACTTGAAGGAGACTGACACAGGCAGTAATTCCTCTCAAGAGTGAGAAAGATGCACATGCACAGGAGAGGAAGATGAAGGCTTTAAAAAACAGGCATGTGAATGAGAAGATGACAAGAGGATAGTAAGTGCGGCAGATGGGTAGAAAAATCTGAGGGGAAGCGCAAGTGAATTAAGCATGAATGAATAAATAAAAGAAGCAGGAAGAAAGATGAGCATGAACAAGAAGGTAAATGAATGATTTAAAGAGTGCAGGAAAAGGAAAAAAGCTCAGGCAGAGTGATTGATTTAATCAACTCTTCTTGCTTTTTATGAGGAAAACGAAAAGCGGCGCTTCATAAAAAGAGAGCAAAAATAGCTATAAGTTATGGAGAGATGAACGAGATGGAACTAATATGACCAATAGAAACTTGTAAATAGGACTGGTTTGATCGTAGGTGTGCTAAGAAAGTCTAATTATTCATCTAGTTCGTCAATAATTTATGGAAGGCTTTCATTAAACCAGCCTGATAAGTGAGAAACAGACAGCTTAAGTTCATATGAGAGCGAGAGACGGTGTTTAATTGACAGTCATATTATGTAACGACAAGTTACCTCGAGGTCTCCTTTGGTGATGCATGCCTCCTCGACACGAAACTGCAGATCCTCCACTTTTCTGTCAAACAGGGACAATAATGAACTTCTTTAACCTCCCGACTAGCAAACTTATGTGCATCAATACCTTCTTCAAATTCTTTCAGAGTAATCAAGTCATACAGATTTAATGTAGGGCTGAAACAAGCTAATACTGTCAGTGAATGTGAAACAAGATGATTTTAACAACCCTAAAGCTACTTAATGGGAAATAAAAGCAGAAAAGTATATGTTATAACAGGGTGGAATCAGGTGCCAAATTCCCTGAAATTTTAAAACTCTGAACCCCATAACCTGCTGGCAGATTATGAAAAGCATGTTATTTTATAAATAAAATAAAATAAAATAAAATAAAATAAAATGAAATAAAATAAAATGAAATGAAATGAAATGAAATGAAATGAAATAAAATAAAATAAAATAAAATAAAATAATTGTTCATCAGGGCCAGAAACAGTATAAAAGGAAAGAATCATCAGATTTTTAACTTTCAGTTGACTGACTCACATTGGCCCTTGAGTTGTGACAAATTTCTCTGTGATTTTATGATACTGCAATGTTTCATTAATCTTTATGTAGACTCTATTTACAATTTCATTTAGCAGATGCTTTTATCCAAAGCGACGTACATCTGAGAGTGGATCACATTCATATACCAATGGTGACAGACCATGCAAGGTGCTGCCTGCCATTGAAAGTAACTTCAGGTCCACTTCAACCCTTCGGCTGTGGAGGGGGATCGAACCATCAACCTTGTGATTAGAGGACGACCCGCTCTACCACCTGAGCCACAGCCGCCTGAGATAAATAGCTTTATGTCTGTAACCTGTAATTGGTGTTGCCAACAGTATTGGCTACATGTGGCCCTGTTATTGGCTGTAGGTGCAGATACTGTGGACTTTAACAGTGTCCATAAATAAACAAAACACCCACCTTTTTTCCTCCTCCAGCTGATTGAGCAGCTCCACTTTGTCTCGATCTGCTGCTTCCACCAGTGAACGCAGCTGATCCAACTTGGCCTCCATCTCCTGCGTATACTGTAACATGCGGAAAGAGCAGAGTCGACTTGGTCAATGTACATGAATGTGCATTGACCATGTATGTTTTCCAGTGCTTTCCAATGTTTTTCCAGTAAATATTTATGATGAAGTCAGAAGCTGAAGTCAGGCTCATAACATTATACATTTAAAAATCAAAATAAATATTAATTGTGATCTAAATAGGGCTGCAACGTGGTTAGGTGGTTAGCATCATTGCCTCGCAGCTAGAAGGTTGCAGGTTTGCGTCCCAGTGAGGACACCTGGATTTTTCTGCGTGGAGTTTGCATGTTCACCCCGTGCAGCGTGGGTTCTCTCCGGGTTCTCCGGGTTCTCCGGCTTCCTCCCACACAGTCCAAAAACATGTTAAGGTTAACTGGTGATTGTAAATTGCCCATAGGTGTGAATGTAAGTGTGCTTGTCTGTCTCTAAGTGTAGCCCTGTGATAGACTGGTGACCTGTCCAGGGTGTCCCCTGTCTTTGACCTGAGTCAGCTGGGATAGGCTCGAGACCCCTGCGACCCCAGTGAGGATTAAGCGGTGTATAGATAATGGATGATGGATAAAAGACCTTCTACGTATGGCAACATGAAAGTCCTGAATAGGGTTAAACACTCCATTCCTTTTATTAATATTGTATGCAGTTCCATGTTTTATTTTATTATATTTGTTGTTATAACAACAGTTTTTTAATTAAATGAACTGTATTTCACTGTTTTTTACCTGAAGACCGCTGTGTCTGTCTCATTTTATAGTCAAACATTTGTTGCATGTAAGCAAAAATGTCACAGTATTTGGCACGCATAAAAGTAAACCACATATTTAATAGCAGTTCTCGGGAAAAAAAGCTTTTGTGAAAATTCAGAACTACTTCATCATCTTTTGGGAGAATAAAAACAAAACTTAATCCAAAAAGAGTGGTTTTTTTTCCTAAACTGTTCTACTGGTTTATAGTTTTATCCCGCCTGTTTTCTTGCAGTGAGCATACACGTCCTGATATAAAGTATTCACAGCACTTGGAAGTTTTCCCCTTTAATTGCTTTTCAACACTGAATCGCGGTCAATTTAATTTGGCTGTTTTGACAACAAATTACAAAAAAAAAGACTCTTTAATTTCAAATTGATAACAGATTTCTACAAAGTAATATCAATTAATTAAAAATATAAAATGTAAAATAAGAGATTACACAAGTATTCCCCCCCTTCAATCAGTATTTAGTTGATGTACCAGAGTCATCTTTTAGGCCACAATTACAGCTTTGGACCAGCATATCTGGACACTGCAGTCATACCTCATTAATCTTTGCAAAACAATCGAGTTGCACAGGGATCATGGGTGAACAGCCCTTTTTAAGTCCAGCCACAAATTCTTAATTTCATTCAAGTCTGGACTCGGCTACTATTCAACACTTACCTTGTTGTCTTTGAACCATTTCTGTTTAGTTTTGGCTGTGTGCTTTCGGTCATTGTCTTGCTGGAAAACTAATTTTCTCCCAGATCGCAGTTCTCTTATAGCCTGCATCAGCATGCCATTATTCATGTGAAAAGGCAATTAAAGGGGGGAAATTCTACCATATTTTTTATAGGAACTGTATGTATCTGACCTGATCCCGGCCTTTTCTCAGCAGGACAAGCTCCTGCTGCACCTCTCCTGCATGGCTGGTTGCTTTAGCGACCTCACACCTCTCCAGGTCTCTCTCTGCCAACAGCTGCTCGATGTGTTGCTGCTTCTCCTTCAGAGCCTCCTGCAGCGCCGTGGTGCCCGAAATCTTACGGGCGTACCGAGCAGATGTCTCTGTCAGCTGGAAGATGACACAAGCACTCATGTTTCAGTCTGTAGGATGTCAGATGATCCCCAGAAACCCAAAACTGTGTCAGAATACTGCAAGGTCTATAGGGCAGGTAATAGCACAGAGTCTTACCAGTCCTGCTCTGCTTGGTTTGCCGCTGATGGAGGAGGTGGCAGAGCTGAGGGAGCTGATGGAGGAGGCGCTGGGGCTCCTCTTGAGAGTAGACCTCCTCCGTGAGCTCTTCGCCTTGGTCGGGGTGGTGCAGGGGAAGCCGATTCGTGTCACTTTGTGCACCGGAGCAAACAGACCATACCTGGGCATGCACTGGAAGTATCTGAGAAGGAGTGTGTTCACCAACGTCAGCAGGCAATATTATAAGATCAAATGACAGGGAAATGAGACAAACAATGACCTCATTGGCTTTCCAGCAGTGGGCTCTGGCAGAGACAAACTATCTTTATCCATTGTAGTCCTTGAAAGGGTTTACTAGTTAGACCTTCAATAACAAAATTATTGTTTAAATGAATGCAGGGAGGTGATGAAGTGGTTCTATGGTGACTCTTTAGTAGGAAGAAGAGGTTCTTAGAAGGTTCTCAAGTTGAAACTTCTCCAAACTGGCACCAGTCCAGAACTTGCATCCAGTTAGCATTAGCAGACAGGGTGTATCAGCAGTATGGTTACCTGGTCCCAGCTACAGCTCCATCATTCTTCCCAAGAGGTTCATCGAGTTCCACTCCACACCACTCTCCTTTGGCAAAGTCTGTCTCTCCAAGAAACCGCACCACTCCAGCCTTGGTTCCACCAACCTGCACACCAAACAAATGAATTCAAATTCAGCATTCAGCAAGATGAAAAAAGCAATTTATCCAACGTGGTATACAAAAAAGAGAAATTTAGCATTAGATTGAGGAAAATGTTCTAATGTAAAACACAACTTTTACAGTAGTGATTTGCTGCTCTACAGCCAGCTGTCTCAGTGGATTCAGCTTCTTACCAAGACTCGGTCTCCCAGCCTCAGCTCCCTTCTGTTCTTCTTCATGGAATCTGGGTCTGAGAGGTTCGACACCGACTCGCTGGGTGTCACTATTCGGTTAAGCGCACTGTTCATCTTTATGCCGGTGGCATGAGCTGAATACAGAAAATCTGTTTTAGTTTGTTAACATGAGAAAAAAATAAAAACAAATAAATCCCAGCCTGTATTCATCAAGACCTGCAAAATTGTTGCTAAGAATCCAGCTTAAAGTGAACCTAAACTCTATTGGAGAAGAACTGGAGAAATCCCACAATGCTAAACAAGCTATTTAAGTTTCTTCTGCCTATATATCTTTATTCTTCATATGTTATTTACTAATAAGCTATTCACAATAATCTGTAAGTTAACCATGGCATGAAAGCTGCATAACTTAAACAGTAAATGTATGTAACAGTCCATTATTTGGCTCAGACTGTCTGCTTTATAGCATCTTGTATGTATTTCACACTAATGCACTGATTTTGAGATCATTGCTGTGAACATATATTCACTACAACTACAGAATTATCTTCTCCTCCTGTGTCTAACTAACCTTTCAAATACACTCACTGTTAACTCATCATGTGCCCTTATGGATGCAGGACTTTATACTGCAGTGACAAATAAGACCACAGTGAGCAAAAATGTGATGGGTGCAATAACTCACAGAAACTGCTTGAGGTTCAGAGGGTTAAAGAGACCCACTATTTAATGATTCCCAGCCCTGAAAGTGTATATGGCCAACGTGAGTTTGGGAATCTTGGGGACTCACTGGTTTGGAAGACTTGTGTGAAAATGCTTCTGGCCAGACAATCGGTTCTGAGAGGACAGGAACATCAGGAAAATTACAACAGTAAATATGTGTGTGGTTCTGAAAACTAACAAAGGAAAAATATATTTAACCTATGAACCCCAGGCAGTTTCTGGACTTTTTTTATACTGACATATTTTTACTCACCAGTGGCTCATTTTGCACTGCAAACTAGTGGCAAAAATCATTAAAAAAAAGAAACAAGCTGAAGTAGAATGTCTTTGACTATATATTTTGAAAAAAACTGTCTCCCCTCATTCTTGCCTCCTATCTGCTGTGTGTAAACACATGCTGCAGTCCAACCAAAAATAATTTTTGTTATTTGACTGTTGAGCCCCTGATGGTTTCCCTTTGCACCTTAAAGTGCAGAATTTTTTTTAATGTTTTACAGACTTTTGTTTAATTTTTCTCATAATATCTATGGTGTCATTAAAAATAAAAATAATAATACCATGACTTTAAAATCCTAATTTCTAAGAAAAAATGGGCTCTGGTACAGCCTGCTGAGCTCCACATCTGGAAAACTGTGTTCATACTATGAAGCTTCCCAGAAGTTACCAGTGGAGGTCGTGGCAGCAGGTGTAGACTCGCTGGTTACAGGGGCTGCTGGTGCTGGTGCTGGTGCTGGTGCTGGGCTGGCCTGCCCTCCGTTCGCCTCCTTGTCTGGCAGTGCAGTCTTTGATAGCTTTGAAGGCCGAGTGAATATTCCTCGCCCGTCCTCACACTGGAAGTAGCGAACTCCTGCCACTGACCCGTCGTTCTTTCCAATGGGCTCGTCCAGCACGATGCCGGCCCACTGCCCGGGAGCAAACTGCGTGCCTCCAACAAACTGCACATAGCCAGGCTTGTTGCCGTTGACCCAGACCCTCTCACCGATCTGGAAGTCTGTGTTTCCATCCTGGGTGGGGGAGGTCACACCTCCAGGGGACTTCTCAGGAGGAACTGGCTTTGGAGCACCTGCAATGAGAATCATGTTTTACTGAAAGGTTTTGCACTTTGCACAGCAATCAAGCACATCTGCAAGCTAAAGTTCATTACAGTTGCCTCAAATGATAATCAACATAAATAATTGACCATCTGTTTAAATTTCATGATGAGTTAAATAATTGTTTGGTCTATAAATTATCAGAAAGTCATTAAAAGCCTAATGGGATGTCTCTGGGTGTGTTGGTATATTGTTATTTACCTTCTGATATTATATTTAAATTGTTAAACAGAGACTAGCAGCAAATCTTCACATGTAAGAAACTTAACAATTCTGTTCAATATTCAAATTAAAATCATGATTTTAAACAATGCAATTATCAAATCGCAAAGGCTGCAATTTTGTATAAACATAATACAGTGTGTCTGATGTTTAAAGTGTTGGGTCAATGATTTTACAAATTCATGCCATCTCCCTTGTAACTATTTCCCATTTTTTGCACTTCACTCTGAATAAACATCATACAAAGACTACCTAAGTTTTTAAAGGTGTGTTTTTAGCATATAGTACAGTGAAACACAACCAACACTATTTAAATTCAGATGCTGACTGTTGCTTTGCTGTCATATCACCCTAACTGAGGAATGAAACCCTTTTCACAGTCCTTGCTGCTACTTTTGAAAGGTGCATTTCCACTGCAATGTGTTTTCACTGGAGGAACCAGGGTATAAATAATTCAGTTTCAGGGAGATGATCCCTGCTGTTGGCCAGAGTACTTTCAGAAGTGCTGAACTTAATGCTGATTAGTTACGTTGCTAGCATTTTCTGTAGCATAAAGACACTCTACAGCCACACACACAGAAAAATACCGTAGTTTAAAGGAGCAATGATAAAGCCATGAACTACTTTTTAAAATCTTTGGTTGATAGCTCGATCTTCAAATCGGTTAAATGCCTAAATTGATAGAAGCTCGTTTTAACCGCTCAACTGATGTGTTTATCAAATCTGAAGGAGCTGCTGAAGGTCACTCCACAGTTTTATACAAAAGACCGACTGTATGAAGCCAAAGGACCGAGAGTTCCATCAGGGTCATTCAAAAGGTCCGGTCGACCACACACAATCATCTCTGTCTGCACAGCCAGTGAGGTCTAAAGAACAGCAACTACACATTTGTTGTTTGCTTGTAGTTTGTGACCAACAGAAATCAGGGTGGAGCAGCTCAAGAGCTTTTACAACAGATGGACTCAAACAAAGTCCAGGCTTTGTTGTCCGTACTTTTGATTCATCAGTGGACTAAGCTGCTTAATCTTCCAGGGTTTTGACCCTGCTGTGGAAACACAAATAACGCTGTGCTGGAGGAGCTTTAACCTCTGGGAAAGTTCCTGGACATTATTTCGTTGGAAAATTAAAGTTCCTGGAACTTTTGGTGGAGAAAAATCACAAGTATATTTCTTTAAGTTTTAGCTTTACAGCTCACTGACTACCGTAAATTCCGGACTACAAGCCGCTACTTTTTTCACATGCTTTGAACACTGCGGCTTAAACAAAGATGCGGCTAATTTATTGATTTTTATGATTTTTTATGAATTTGCCTCAAGACATAAGTGACATTGAGAGCGACAACAAAAGAGAGACTGAGGAAATGTATTATGAAGTAATTTTGAGGCTGTTCAATTCCGACACTGAAGACTTTCGTGCTTTTAGGAAGATGAAGATAGCGATCAATGACTTTACCTGGTACGCGACTGTATTTTATTTTTTTTTAACCAACTGTGTTACAGGCACTGTTCGGGGAAAAAAGCATTTATGGTACATATTTGTATATGTTACTGGTATGTATTTAATTAAAAGTTTAAAAAAAAATCTTTCTGTCTATCTCATGTTACAATGTGGACACCTGCGGCTTATAGGCAAGTGCTGCTTATATATGTACAATTTTTGTTTTCTTTTTAAAGTTAGTGGGTGCGGCTTATATTCAGGTGCGCGCAATAGTCAGGGAATTACAGTATATAAATGTATTGCTATGTCTAAGGATCAAGGTAAGCACATCAAGAAAAAAAAGTATATAAGTTATTATAATAACATTATCCAGACCCAGTGTTGGAGTTAAATATCATTGAAGCCTGTTTTGATAATTATTTTTTTATTTATTGCCAGGCACTGTTTTCACTTCCTTTTTAATGTCTTATGTTGTGTTTTATGTTGATCCTGTCTGTCTGTAACTCACACTCATTCATTCATTCATTCATTCATTCATTCATTCATTCATTTTTATTGTTATGTTTGTTGAGGACAGGTCCAACATTGCTGTCTGTCTGTGATTCTGTGTTGTATTGTTTTGTTATTTGCGAAGAGGTCTCTCTTGAGACCCTGTGTCTCAATGACATTACCTGTATAAATAAAGGAAATAAAAATAATTTTAAAAAATAGTACAGAGCACAACAATACGTTCTATTGGTTGTTACTCAACTCGAACTTAACACAACAACAGCTGTATCTATATATAGTTTTTTTTGGTGGAATACTAAAAAAAAATACCAAAGTTTTCAGTTTAACTAACGATTATATTAATTTTCAGTGAAGCTGAAAATGCCCATCATAAGCTTCCAGGATCTGTGGGGATGTCTTCAAATGACCTGTTTTGTTAAACTGTCCTAAACACATATAGTTTGTATTTACAATTAAGACGCTGTAACCAATACATCTCTGACATTTTTCCTTTAAAAAAAAACAAACAAAAAAACTACTTTAGATATTTTTTTGTTGTTTTAAATTGATTAATTTATTAATCATCTCCGATTTAGAAAAGAATACAGTGAAGTAACAGCTACAAAGCAACTGTGCCTGCAGAAAAATAGAACTTAAATGAACCAAAAATGAGTCACAAATTATAACTGTGAGCAAGCTTCAGAGCTACAAACCTGGGTAATACCTGACACAGCGTCTCTTTTTAACTTTCTCTACATAAATATGGGAGAATTTGAGTCATAGCATTTAGCTGAGGACTGATGAAGAACATAAATGACTAAAAAGATAATTTTGTGAGAAATTCTTGTTTGTTTCCCAGTCCACAGAAATAAAAGCATTTCCGCTATAAACTGATTCAGAAAACGAACAAATTGGTGCATAAAAATTGACCAGAATGCAGAAAATTAAGCATTTGATGCTGATATTCATCAACTCAAATCAATGTTCAACAAACTCTACGCCCATGTCCATGTCCCTGTCACATGGAGGTCTCTGCCTTGCTGAAGCACAGCTCAACAGGGCAGCAGCTCACTGCTTAAAGGATGGACTGTGTAATCAGATTGACTCCCTGCTGGGGCCTAAATGGTTAATCTGTGCAAAAAAGCACATCTTGTTTTCAAGGGTGCATGACATTCCTCTTACTTATGAGGTCTTATTTTTTTTTTCACACATAGATGCTCTGTTGTACTTTGTTTTCATGAGAACTAATCACATGTTCAGCTTTATTTGACTGCTTCTCACCAGACGATGGGGACGTCCTTGTGGGCGCCACTGATGGACGGACTATTTTACTGGGCGGTTTCAGCCCGCTGGTCTTGGCTGGTGCACTCACAGCTCCTTGTTTGTCCATGGCTGGGTGGTTGTGTGGGGTGTCTGGCCTGATCAAGGTGGGGGACTAGGCCTTCCCCACCGCCCCACACAGTACCAATGTGACAGAAGGGAGCTGGAAAACCAAAAACAAACATTTCAGTGAAGTCGTACACAAATGTCACACTCGTTAAAGACAGACAGGGGAGCAGCATCAGGGCTGTTTTCTATTTTAACCTTCGACCTTTAAGTCGTGTTTTGCTGCTTCAACTGTCAAACTCATCACAGTTAATGTTTACTAAGATTGCTTAATTTATTCATCACAAATGCCCAAGTCATGCCTGTGAGGAAATACAGAAACCTTCTATAAACAAACACAGACAATGTGAAATAGTGTAAGAAGGGACTCTACACCATGTTAAAGATGATCTGATTCAAAACATGATGACTTATAATGTATTAAAAAGTGTTTTTATATTTAAAACTACCTTGTATACACTTTGGACGACTGACAATTCAGCTTCTAATAATAAGAAGGGGGTGGGCGATATTTTTTCTTCTTTACTTGACCACCGGCCCAATCCTTGAAGAGGCTCTGATTCATTTGCTCACTGTACAGCTACTTGCTGTTGTTTGAAATGAATATTTAGGTATATTACGGTCTCGTGAATGCTTCCTTTTACTTGTTATTTTACTGATTTTGTTCTGTTTTGTTAAATTACAGATATCTAGTAAAATAACAGAAATATTTACATGTTCACCGTAAAAAACAACAAAGCAACAACAAAACAGGCCAAAACTGTGAAGAATGTCTACATCAAAAATCTATACTTTAAAAAAAAAAGTAATTAATTTAGTATTCAACATTTTTACAGTTTTTGAAAGTTCCACCATTTTTAAACACATTATTTTGCAACCTTGCTGCCAGATTTTCACCATTGTTTTCCAGATTTATTTATTTATTTATTTTTAACTGTAGTGTTGAATTTGGATGTTTGTATCATCTAAATATTGCTGTTTGGTTGCTGAATCAAACACATGTCTACATGTTGAGGTTCATTGGACTCTCATTACTGATGAACCTGCAGATTATTTTCATGACAAATCAATTATTCAGTTGGTCCATAAGAGGTAAGAATGAAAAATCCATCAGTGACACCTTTGAATTTGCTGTTTGGTCCAAAAAAAAAAAAGCAGATATTATTATAAACACAATGAGTAGAAATTGAATATTAGAATCTTCCAAAATATTATTTACACTGTTATGAAACAGACAAGTATGAAATCTTCAGATGTGAGAAACTGGACGGTCCTCCATGTATGATGCTTATGAGTCAAACAGTTAATCAAATCACAATATCTGTCACAAACATCATAGATAGTTTCTAACCAGAAATGTTTTCGATATTTTGTTCTGCCCTTGCGGGCAGTCGTGTGTTATCACTTCAAAAAATGCATAGACAAACAATCAATTATCAAAATAGGTAATTAATTGCTGCAGCTCATCTAATTAGTCAGTTCGTAGCACCAGTGGGATTAATAAATGGGAATTGTGTTTGCATTTTAAATCAGTAATAAATGTTCTCATTAGCTCATGAAATGGTTTATGGGTGCAGAGTAATGAAACATTTCATTGCCACTGCACTTCATTCATGAAGACCTTCACCACCCACCACTACATCAGGATCCCTGTGAGAGCTGTGATGCTGCTCAGGGAGGCCTGAGATCATCCTCAACACCTCCTACTAGATGTAACCAAGTCACAACGCAACGTTTATTAAAAACCTATTTAGGATCACTGGTGTAATACATCCGATATCCCGCTGATCTCTACTGGAGTAAAAACGTTTTGCATATCTCACACTTGCCATATAAAATGTGGCTTACTTTCCATCTCAGAGACTAAAACACTAAAGTAAGACTGTAATTAAAACAAACAAGATTGGATTGTTGTTCTGTAGATCTCTGACGTGGTGAACAGCAGCCTGACACAGCGGCCATGTTATTCGTGAAGTCGATGATTCACACTGACTTTGAATAGACAGACATTATGTTTCACACAACAAAGACTGTGTGTTCAATACAAAAGCATTACACTTAAACCACTGCAAAGAGGTGTCCAGCCAATATAACTGTGGGACCTATTTTAGTTTTGTTTTTTATTAAGAAGAATTTGTTTGTTTGGTTACTTCAGACATTTGTTAAGTTGAATAGGACATTTTGATTTGTTAGACTTGTATTTGTCTTCATTTCTGATCGTTTTCTTATTCTGATTAGTTCATTTTTCTTGTTGTGTAAGTGCAGGTTAGCACTATGGGCCCTTGATGGTGTGTCAGTAGGCAGGTATGGGACCAGCAAGCACTGGGATAGAGGGGATGGATTTTACTGTCTGACTTTAACAAAAAATAATATTAACAATAATCTGCAGAAACAGAAAATGCCTTTAAATTGGTTTCTGCTTTGTTTGGTGCTACAAAATGTTGCTTTTGTATTAAATAACAGAAAGCAACAACTAATGTAAATCACATAGAGACATACAAGCAGTAATAAAACTTTTTAGGGTCTCTGAGATCTCTGTAAATACTTTCAGAACAGATCCAAGTGTTAGTTATCAACTATTTAATAATCACCAACTATTCTGATTATCAATTAATTGGACTGAGTCACTAAAAAAAAAAAAAAACAGTCTAAAAACGAGACATTTGTCATATTGGACTTGGACACTGATCCACATTTTTCTGACATTTTTTTTCCACCAAACAGCAAATCAATTAATTGAGGGAATCAGCGACAGATTAGTCAAACAATAAATAAAAAATAATCATTGGTACAGCCCTGTTTAAACAACACTTCCCTGTGTTCTGCTTGTTTTTTCAAAAATGTCAAACCAGTCTTGATTTAAAATGTGTTATTTATATATGAAACGACAGAAAGTAACAATCAGTGTATTGATATAGAGACATATAATATGAAAAATAAAACCTTGTGGGGCTCTGGAACTATTTTCAGAACAGAGGCACATGTTCCTTAATAAATTTCTCTGTCTTTCAAAGTTTGCAGAGTATTTATTTACTCAGAAACAGGTGCTCAGAGGCCCCAGCTTCATCCCAGGAGCCATTAAATGCATTAACCACCCACTGTATCTCCCCTAGGGTGCACAAACCTTAGCAACCAACACAGTGATTTAGGAGCTGAGTTCCTGATGACTGAGGAGGAGACTCAGTTTGACTTTTTTCTGCACTGAAATGCGTCTGAGGAGGGAGCGTCTGATGTAACGAGCAGGTAACAGGAGGAGGTCTGTCACTGGTAATATCACCTCAGCATCATAACATCACCCCGCCCAGGCGGTGCTCCCAGACCAAAACAACAAGCACACCTACAGCTGTCAAAGCTCATCCTGGGAGCACCTCAGGGAGCAATAATGCAGCTCTACATCATCCAGAAATCCACGTATAGACATCAACAGTACAGGACACACACACGGGCAGACTGGTCCATGTTGTTTGTGTCTGGGCTGGGCATCTGTGGAGCCACTGGGATAACTTCACCGCCTCGACACTTCTCCCCCAACATGATACACATCAATATGAACCACTAAAGCTTGGTTTGGTTTTATGTGACACAGTCTTTTGGCGAAACACACACCTTGTTGTCACACTGAGTGTTTCTGAAGCTGTGCTCCCTGCTGGAATGCACAGCTAGCTAGCTTCAGATTAGCAGTAAAGCACAAACTGAGGTAAAGCAGCTAACGCCCCACACAGGAGCGAGTTAAAGCGAAGAAAAGCAGACAGTGACGGGGAAAGTTGCTGTGGAGCTTACTTGGTCTCTTCAGGTGAACTGGGTCTCAGTGAGGGATGTCTTGGGTAGGTGCAGCGGACCTTTCACCGTTATTCCATGTTTTCCAGCCCAGCCCCGGACCGACTCAGTCTGACGTCAGCCTGGGAACTGATACTGCGTTCACGGACACAAACACCAGCTCGGACGTCCGAGCTCCTCCCAGAAATATGTTTCTTTTTCTCCCTCTCTCTCTCTTATGTTAAAGCACTTTGAGTTGCATGCGCTGCGTGGAAGTTGCTCTACAAATAAAGCATTATAAATATATTCTCAGTCATCCGTGTCATGTTGTTCTAGTAGTTTATGCTATGTCCTGTGTGTCCTCTCTCCGTGTGTATGTCAGGTGGCTCTGGAGTTATAAGGGTCTGATCTGCAGCCTATCCTGTCACTGTCTACTGTTTGTGTTGACTGCTGGTTCTCTCTCCCCTGCTCCCTCACCCCAACCCATGGAGGCAGATGGCTGCTCTGCCTGAGCCTGGTTCTGCTAGACATCCATCTATCCATCCATCTATCCATCCATCTATCTATCTATCTATGCATCCATATTTATATATGTATGTTTGTGTGTATTAGTCCATAAATAATAAAAACTAAATATCTTAAATGTGCTTTATGGAGAGAAAAAAACAGACTTACCTATTTTATGTTGCTATACTGCATGCTTAGGATCTTATTTGTTTTCATTTGCTTTTGTAAAACACTTTGTAACTTTGTTTTTGAAAAGTGTTATACATATGAAGTTATTTATATTATTTAAAATCCTAAGTTAAAAATACAAATCTGTTTCGTAGACCTTTTTCTCTTCTGTCATATGAAACATCTCTCAATGCACAAAATCCAAAATCACAGCCTATACATGTAGGCTTAAGCTGATCAAAGACAACATGTGTCTGACTCTATAAAACATTTGCAATTGTGTTGATTCAGTTTTTAAATTTTTTTTTCAGATTCAACAAAACAGGAGATTTCAGTGTCTCTGAAGATGTTGCGGTCTAAGTGGAAGCTGTGCATCTCTCCAAAAACAAAAAGCTCAGACACAGAAAAATGACACAGATGTATTTTATCTCATTTAATCTGATGACATGAGATGTCAGCTTTACAGTGAAGTGAAATCTCTTACACACGTCGTCGAACTGCCTCGTTTACAGTTAGTAAAGATATTTCCTGAAACATGCTGAAAAGTTAAGAGCACTTGGTAGACTAGAACAGCATTAGTAATGCTACAGACAGGTGATGTGTTGTTAGGTCACACATATATAACGTACAGTATACAGCAACTCAAAGAGAGTGGGATCTAATGATATGTCAGAAACAAGTGGACAAGAGACTCAGGAGATGTTCAAGGCTGGACCATCATCCAGGGACCCCTAGTGGGACCATCTAGCAAATAGCTTGTGGTCATCTGACTAGTTGTGATTTCGTCTAGAGATGAAGGAATTCGTGCACCACTAAAGCACAATGTTTGCTGTAATGACAGAATAATGTGGGTCCTGCTTTGTTATCAAACCTGAAATAGGCTCTTTGTGGAGTTCAAAGAGCTACTTCACCAATTTAGTATTGCACTTTCATAAAGATGGAGTCACAAGGAAACGAGAAAAGTGTCTAAATAGTGGCAGCAGATATTGTTACCTTTAGTCCCTCATATGAGTCAAGTTCTAAAAACCGCTATATTTCCCATAATGCCACTAAATAACATCTCAAACAATCAAACGCACAGTGCATAGTATGAACAACAACAAATACACAAAAATATGCTCATCATTTATGAAACTTCCCAGTTAGTTGCAGATGTTAGAATCCTTTTAAAACATTTTACATGCATTATTTCATGTATCTACTGTCTTATCTTTCACACAACCTTCTGAAAGTTCTCGTACACCTACCAATCTAAAATCAGTCAGCACAGTAATCACTGATCAGTTTCATGACAGGGGTTACTGCAGCCTGGATGTTGCACAAAGCACACCCATCTCCACTGGTTTTGTGTGAGGTTTTCAGCCAAGGGGGCTCTGATTCAAAGCAAACTGAAGTCTTTTACATCCTCCATCAGCCTTTGAAAGTCGTGCTTTCCTTTTCATGCAGCCGAGGCCCAGCAGCCAAAGGCCAACGTTTTCCTGACAAACAACTTGTCTGTACGCACAGTAGGAGCAGGGCTGAGGCAGATGAGGGAACTATAAGATTCTGTCAATATAAAACTCTCTTGGGACACTTACTGGACATATTTTGATTGCTGTGATTGTCTGATATGTGTTCTGAATGGCTCTGTCACTGCCATGCTCCGATTCAGCTTTTAAATGACGTGGTTTAAGATTGGAGATTTGTGCAAAAACTAATTTCTCAGGTACAACTTTGTCTGCAGAGCTGGTGTCATCAAAACTTTTCAATAGGAAAGCAAATGTTGCTCTGAGCTAAACTCATAACTAGCTGCAGCTCCATCATGCTACTGTGAGAGTAAGTCTGAGTTTAGCCATTAGAACAGTGGAACAACACTGCCTCCACCAGGTCAAATTGGAAATTACAACACTGCCACTTAGAATTTCCATCCAGGATCATTTGATAAAAGCAAAACTTTGCATCATTGTTGACAGTATGACACCAGACCATTATTAAAGACAAATAGTTTGAGGTATACCTGGGAGATTAGGGCTTAACTGTAAAAAAAAAAAAAAAAAAGAAAAAGATTTTTACATCTTGTCTGTTAAAAAAGCTACAAGCGACATGAGTCTGAGAAGAGCTAAAACTCAAAGGTAAGAATTGTTGGAGCTCACCTTTCTGACGTTCATTACATCAACTGACATCGTGCTTTCATGGTGCAAATGAAAACATTTCTTTCTGTTTCAGATTACCAGACTGTGATAAACTGAGGAATAAAATAGGGGTCCAGCACCTGGTTTCAGAATTTGGTTTCCTCCCAAATGGTCTTGATATGCATTGGTATATAATTTACTCATATAAAAGCTAGATAAGTGATGCCATCAGGCCCAGACGGACCTGGACTGCAAGCGAAAGAAGCCACGGACAGTGCGGGCACAACAATTTAAGAAATGGATTGAAGTGCAACAGCATGAGATTGCATTAGTGATAGCAACCAACAACGGCAGCAAAAAGCAACAACCAATAGATTATATTTTGATAACTTATATAAATGTTGGACTTGTGTGATTTTTGGATGACAACTAAGACAAATTGGATTGTTTAAAAAAAGAGATTTCCAGAAAAAGGCACACATCAATTGAGAAGGTATGCTAAGGCAAAGAACAGTTGGTCTTCAACCAGTGAGTAGTGGCATCCACTTGGCTCTTAATATATAATACAAATAAAATGATAAAAATAAAAAAAAAAGAACCACAAAAAAAAACCAGGCTTGTACATTATAGACAACTAGAAACACAACACGATTAAAAAGATTATTACTCAAAGTTGTTGCTGCATTTACATCACAAAGTACTGTTTGGTTAATACAGGAAAGTGGCTCAGCGCTTGAAAAACCTGCTATAAGCTTTTTTTTTATACATGACAAAGTTTTCTCACAGCAGCTTTATGATCATGCATAAATAGAGAAAGTGGTCAGTGAAGGAGGAGCACAGTGGTGCCTCTAGTTGTGGTAGAGGCGTATGCGTTGGGATATGTTGCTGCGGCACAGAGGGCAGTTCTGCAGCGCCTCGCTGCAGACCTGACAACAGCATACATGACCGCATGGCAGGAAGATGACCTGAGACTGCAGAGAGACAGAGACAGGACACAGTCAGCCATCTGGATGATGCATACATGTGGGGTGAGGTTTAACTCTCTAAACTTCAAAACCTGCCAGCAGGTTTGAAACGCATGCTATCTTTAAAAACAAATCATTACTGTTAAACTATTAATTGGAGCCAGGAAGTGCACAAACAGTCCCTGAGCTACTTATCTGTGATGCCATTGTAATGGAAAAATAAACCAAATTTAAGCTTGAAATCACGACATTTGATGAAAATCACTTCATTCTATGCCCTATTCAAATTTTTTTCCCAAAAATGAATCATTTGCACAAGAAGACAAAAGGGACTCAGCTGCGACCAACAGTTATGTGAGAAAGATTCAGGGACTTTTTGACTCAGCTGCACCTGTGGGAACTTTTTCTTCCAAAATTGTTAGACATGTTGGTTTCAGGATTTTTCAGTCTTTGCAAATAGATAAAGAAACCTGTTGTTTTGTCTTTTTAATGATGTATGGCATTGAAACATTATAGAAAACAACAGTTGTTTTGAGTTCTCTCTACTTCTAGCCATGATTGTGCAGTTCCCATAGAGAGGCGCCTTTATTCTGTGATTGCTCAGCAGATGTAAAACCCTTTATCAGGAATGGACATCAGAGATAATGACATGTTCCGAAAGTGTAAAGAAGTAGTTAGCCATAGTTACTTCCAAAGTCAAGAAGCTTCTAGCTAAGTGTAGTTTGTGAAATGGTCATCATATTAACGTTAGGTATGAACAAATCTCTGTTGGTCTGTCTGTTTCGATCAAAGTAGATAGTGTAATTGTGCAGAGTGCAAACAAAACAGGATCCAGGACAGAAGTTTGGGTCAAGGTACAGCATTCACATAACAGACATACATATACTTCAGACATTTTGAGTAATGAAAATAATATCCCTGAAAACAAAACAAAAAAAAAAAAACAAAAAAAAAACACCCAGCTTTCCGTTGGTGAAGACTGTTGAGTACAGTATGGATTATTACTAGGACTACAGTTCCTACTTTCTGGATGTGCTGCTGTTCTTACCCCAGTCTCCATGCAGACCACACACTCAGAGCTTCCTGGTCCCTCCACAGGAGTGGGTGCAGAGGGAGTGACGGGAGTCCCTGGGGTGAGCGGCGGGCTGGGCATCTGGATGTTTGAGGTGGTGGAAGGAAGAGACGGGGCGGACGGGGAGGGAGCTGCTGCTTCTGCTTCCTCCTCCAGCTCGACAGCCTTACAAGCTCCCGCTGAAGAAGGAGGAGGCAAGTGGACAGTAATAGATTACATGAACACATGAGTTTCACCTTCTATACTTAAATAAATAAATAAACAAAAAAATTATGTAATCCGTTTATAGAATTCAGAATTTTTTAGTGTCTTCAGTTTTCCTTCTTGGATTCCAGCTTTGGAGGGAACTCTGCACTCACAAGGAAAACATATTCCTTTGCTAATATTTTGCTTTGTTCTGTGTTCTGTATTGAGGTCAAGTACATCCATAATGAAAATGGAAAGTTTCATTGCATTGGTTATTATCTACTATGACACTACACAAGATCAAATATTATGCTTGACATCCAAATTCAATCCTGTTGCTCTGTGTGTCTTGAGTTGGGCTGCATCAAGCTGCCATTACATAGTTTACATCCAGCATCAGAAGTCTTAGTTTCAAATTGTCTCATTGTGCACATTTGAATTGTCTTTCATAATCAGTTGTTCGGTAGACTTTAAATTGCACTAGTCTGAACCAGTGGTTCTATACAAACATATTATTATTTGACTGGCAGACTACCAAATCAAACTCCAGGCTTCCAAACTGGTCCTCACTGCTGGTGCAGTTTGTGTTTGGCATGCTGCATGCTATCGTGTTTGTTGACACATACATGTGATTAGCATGGAAACAGAGGATTTCTATGCTTTGAAAACTCACACATCAGAATACAGATAGTCCAACAATTAGAAGCAGTGTGTGCAACATGTTTGTCTAACACACAGTAATATAGTTTGTGTGTGATGTACCTTCAGGTAGGCGTTCCCGGGCCCAGTTCAGCAGAGCTTTCTGTATTCCTACCTCAATAATGCCAAGCTGAAAACAGAGAAATGAATAAAGCTGGTTATTCTTCACATTCAATAATTAAATAATGGGTAAACCTGCGTTACACATTTTTTGATAGCAAGCTGTAACTGCAACACTGACATTTCATCAGCTTTAAAGGAGACATGCTTAGCATTGTAGCAGATAGTTGCCTATTTACATATTCAGTAGACATGGTTTGTTTTATCCTGACTAGATCCTTGCTTGTGTTGTGCCTACTCTCAGATGTACGTCGCTCAATGAAATTGTATAATTGTAGACATGGAGCAACAATATTCCCTGTTTTAGCTCTGCTTAAACAGGATCTTCAATCTCATGAGGAAAATGTCTGGCTATTTTGCTGCTAAATGCTCTTTTATGTACAGCAGCGATTCTCTAACTGTGTCTGTCTGCTGACTGGTGGTGGGCAGGTTGTGTACAGTGAGCTCCTAAGGCTTTTTCTTTAAAAATAACCTTTGGCTGCAGCCAGAAACAGTGCTGTGAGTGGTGACGGTGAGCGGAACGAGTCAAGCCACAGGTTGGAAAACCAAACTATTGAGCTGAGAGATGCTATAAAGTTCTGTAGAGTTGAGAAGTGTAGACCTTTGATTCACTCTTGCTATAAAAAATATTTTCACTGCTTAAGGGGTGAAAAATTGTGATTTCAGGTGTACTTGAAATTTGGTAATCTGGAAAACTTTATTTAAGCTTCTGTGGGAACAAAACATGGCTCTCATCATGAACACTAAATAAAGAAGTGAAAAATGCATTTCTGTCTCACTAGTGTCCCACCATCAAAAAAGTTTCATAGTGGACATAATTCTGCATTTGAACACCTCATTAGGATGACAGTGGAGGGTGTGTACGACTCATCTACAGATGCTGCTGCAGAAACTCAAGCTAACATCACTTCTCAATGGTTTAGTATTGACAGATAAGACAGCTGATGTTAAAACTGAATTTTGTGCAGTTAAGTATCTCTGGTGCCGCAGTGAAAACCAATATAATAGTGATGTTTTTTCACACAGACCTTTTTGAGGTCAGAGGCCTTCATGTGGCGAAGTGCCTCAGTCGTCACTCGATTATGGGCCAGAATGGGCAGGTAGTGCTGCACCGACAGTCTGCACAGAAGGTTGACTAAATCCTTCTCCACGCCTGCTTCCTGCAGTAAGATCACAGTTTTAGAGCAACATACTCAGCTTTCAGATGTTGTGTGTGTTGATCCTGCTCTGCTCTGTACTGTACCTGCATGCGTAGTGACAGAGGCTTAGCATCCAACAGTCTCTGGTACTGTATCATCCAGTAGTTCTGTTGGTTGGACTCAGACTTCCGTTCCATCTCCGCCTGGAAAACACAAAGTGATTCTTATATATTCAATTAAACCCAAGACAAGCAAGACTGCAAGGAGACAAGATAATCATTTTAAGCTCAAATGACCCATAATTGACACTGTAAGTATGAAACCACCGATGACACATGTGAGCAATCTCTGCCTCCAGAACAGCATAACTTGATGAAGGAATCACTCTCTAAACAGAAACATTTGTGCTTTTTTCCCCCTGTTTTTTTGAAGTAACACCAGTTTGTCAGATTTCACAGTGACAGAATGAGAAAAAGAGGTAAGCACTGATGTGTTTCCTCACCAGAACCTGCCGCAGCTCCTGCTCTCTCTGGTCCCTCTGCTTCAGCAACTGCTGTAATAGGTCACTGAGGGCTGTGCGCTGATCCACTAGAACCTCCTGCACACAGAGGTGAAGTGATAATACACACTCATCAGTAAATGTTGTCTGAATACTGAACAAATCAAAGAACACAGGAGACTTCTATAGTGCAGGTGTGCAGTAGGAAGGCGAGATCATCATCTCCGACTCATTTTCCTGTTTGAAAGCAGCTCAAAATGCACACGGGACCATCACCAAGTATTGATTTACAGTCAAATCTTCGAAATAAACTGAAGATTTACTTAATAACTACAAAAGCAGACATAACCTTCACCCTTGACGCAAGATGTAATATTTTACTATAATCTATTGTTTTTAACATAAGGGAAAAAGTATTTGTTATTCCAACACACAGCATCTCTGCAACAGAATGAATGTCGTTGCCAAGAGCCAATAACCAAGTTTGCCCTAAGCTGAAGGTTATAATGGTAGATGTAGAGTGGGCTCATAGACTACAAACACTAACAAGTCCCCCATCTTATTCAGTAAGTTAATGAGGTTGTTGGCGCTGCATGTGGAATGTTGTCCCACCCTTCTTAAAGGGCTTGGTGAACTAGGTGAGATTCCGGGGGACAGCATCATGTTTTTGGACATGTCTATCCAGAGCATCCCACAAAGACTTGATCTCATGTCAAAAGAGTCTGGAGGCCATGGCATTGTTGGGCATTGAGACTGCCATTAATAAAATGTAGATGTGTTCTTTGATGCTCACACCATCAGTCCTTTGCTCTGTTCTTACAACCTTGACACCAGCATAGTATTCCCCTGTAAGATGTCAATCTCACTGTCTGCTACCTGCTCTGTATAGCTAAAAATGAGATTACCAGTGTATAGGACTGTCCTCTTCATCTCTTTAATATCCAGTGAATGTAAGTGACGTCGACTTGAGCCGACAGATCAAGACCTCGGTGTGGACGAAAAGTTTGCAAACCAGCTTCGATCAGGCAGTTTCTTACAGTCAGACCAGCTATTCTCTGGTTAAATACACCAACAACTTCATCAGCGTCTCTGTAGCCAATTTCACATGATTTCACAGATGGATGAGCTGGATGTGTCCATCCTGGGTATTGGTGGTGACACATGGTCTGCAGTCAAGTGGCAGATACCATGCTGTCTAAAGCATTTTCAATGATGACAAGTCTTCAATGAAGGAGTTGTGAACATTCAAGTGCCTGACTACAACCCGTTCTCTTCTGTTGGATGACTGCTTTCACTTCTACTGCTGTGCTTGTTTTTACAAAGGGTAAAATCATATGTTTACTTAAGATAAAAGCTACTTTACTCACCTTTATCACTCAACTGAATTCATGTATTTGATGCTGCTTTACCTCTGATTATTTAACTGAAGCGCACTGTGTAAAATGTTAAATTGTTAACATGGAGCAATGGCATGGAAATAACCAAAAGAAAAAGAAAACAAAATATGGGAAGGCAAAGAAAGAAGGCGGTGACACCCACCTGCAGGTTCTCAGCATCCAGATTGCGTCTTTTAATCTCCAGTTTAGTCAGCTGCATTAATTCACCCTCTATGAGCTTGATCTGGGGACAGTGGAGAAGCAGACTTGAAGCTAGCAGGGAGAGGGGACATGCTGCTGAACGCAAAGTCAGGGTGAAAACACTGGTAATGAGCTGGTGGAATGAATTTCTGTCTTGTTACAGTAATACACAGGGTTCTTTAGGCACCCAGTGGCTCTACCTTAAAATAGTAAAAATCAACAACAAAAGTTTTGTTAGTATGAGCAAAAAATTAACTCGATTATGAGCAGGCTGTGGGAAAAACAATAGAGAGAAAATGACAATAACGCCCTGTATTTGCAGTCTGTGCTTTCAGCTTCACTGGGATCATTTTATCAATCCAAAGAGTGATTTGCTTGAACCTTCATTAAGGGAGTCTTCGGTCACTTAGCAGCAGTGGAAACGAGCTGTAACCACAACACTGAGCTATCTACCAGATTTCCACACAGACCTGGTTACGGATGTAGCCATGTACAGCATCTTTCTGCAGCTGCAGGGCCTGGAATGCTGCTTTCTGCATCTCCTCCTGCAGAGAAACATCACAGAATAGTTCACAGAGCCTGACTGATAAAACCAGCTGTCTTGACAGTAAATCCATATCCAGCAGCCACCTACCTCCTGTAAGATGTGGGCAATGGCTTTAGATTTGTCCAACACTTGGAGGGACAGCATCTTGTCAAACTTCCTGTCCAAATTCTCCATACTGTGACAAGAAAAGGGAGAAGCAATGACAATATGTTTCTGAAAACTTTCACCTGTCAAGTCCACACCATAGACTGTATGAGAGATGGATGGAGAAACCCTGACATCACTTATTGATTTGACTACTGCTTGGATGCCCCGAGCTTTGAACTGGCTGTCACTATCTTGTTTTTTTGAAACTAGAACTAACAAGGGAGGGATGGATCTGACTGAGAGCTCCAGGACACCACAAGACATTTATAATGTAGCATCTTATCAATCCCAAGGTATCCTGCCCTAGAACAAATCCTGCTTTTTCTTTACTCCCATTAGAACCATAATTTACAACATGAGCACTGTGCTTTATTCAAAAAGTCTTGAAACTACTGATTGAGACCAGAAACTAATTAGGAAAATGTTCACTGAGATAACTGATGAAAGGGTCTAATAGACTTCTGTGGATCTATCTACTTCTCGCTGACTTCTTTGAAATCAGTGGAGTTGTCTCATGGTTGTTAGAAATCGTTTTAAATCACATCCATGCTGGTTCCCTTTTTCAGATTTAGAAGCTACATCAATCTTTTATATGAAGACTATGGTCCACATAAGTCTGATCTGTCTGTGTGGTGGTGAAAGTGCATGTTTAACCTCCTGTAGGCCTCAGAGACCAGGCTCCTTCTGCGACAATCACTGGCCTCTTGGAGGAGGCTCATAGCACAGCCGTCTGACAGCATCTTCTGCATGGCCGCTAAAAATACACAGAGGGAAGACAAAAGATGAGTAGAGAAGTAGTTTGGAGAAAAACAAATGATTAAAGGAAATGGAAAGATAATAATAAAAGCAAAGTCTGAAGTCTAAAGTTTTTATGGTTGGTGGAATATTGGTATAAACAGAAACACTGAAAATATTTGACCAAATTTATACCATCATATAACTGCTTTGTAATAATTTATCAAAGCAGGGTTGTACAATGAAGAACATACGTACAATCATAATGAGCCTACAAAATTTGAGGCCTCCAGCTATATTATATCTCAAGTTATGGCACTTCCAAGATTGATTCACAGATTGGCACGAGGAAAACAATGCAAAAATCAACATGAATCTATCCTTCTTTAAGAATTTTTAACTCATAAACTAATGTTACCTATGACCCCAGATAGGACACCTTTTACATAATAACATACCGATGCAAACATGAGATGGTCAGGCATGAAATTTTAAAGAAATTGGTGAACTGAGGTGACATGACTTGTACAAACTACAAACATTTGTGTGTTTTTAGGGTTTTATATATTGTGAGCAGGGCGTCCTTGTAAAAGAGAGCTTGCTATCAATGGCCCTCACTGTTTAAATAAAGGCTCAACACTGAATAAATACATGTGTGCAAATGTCCGTGTCCGCAAACCCCCAACTGTAGTATGTATAGCAACATGTGTACGTATACTGTTGAATATCAACACAAAATGAATCATGAATCATTTACTTAACTCATCAAATTAAGCCATTTAAAATGTTAATGGCGTATTTGCTTACACTGCATACTATACATGCACTGCATTAGGCTACAGTTTCCAGAATTCCTGCTTCATAATGGAGGTGGTTCTGCATCGTTCATTCGTACAATAATATGTTAGTCTGAGGTTGGGCAAGTCAACAAAAGTAGAGAAAAAGTGAGATGAATTGCCTATCTCAAGATTTGTTGTATCAACAACGTTTTCTCTACTTTTTGTTGTTTTACAGTACATAATCTGGATTTTTGCTGAGGATATCTTAAACATTGCTATTAAAAAACAGTGACCAAGATATGCACTTTTTAGGACACATATTGTAGAGTGGAGACACTGTTTTAAAAATACATCAAACATGTCTTTGGTGTGTCTGCATTAACATTTTGCATGAGGGACGGTGGTGTCATGTTAACGTGTACATCCTCTGAGGACCTTTAATGTGCCTCATAAATGTCATGAATACATTTCTGCATCCTGTAAATGTGAAACTTGTCAGCACTAAAATCATTGTCGTCATAAGCGTAAAAATTTGGTGTATTTTTAATATAGAAAGTGGCAAAAAAATGAGTAGAACATGAGAAGGAAAACGTATCCAGCATATCTATAACGACAAATTCTAATTACTTCCATACCTGCCACTTCCCTCTTCCTCAGTGAATTGGCTTCTTCTTGTGTGATGGCAGTCAGATGCTCCATACGGATCCTGATGGAGAACAATGACAACACTTTAAAGTTTATGTTATCATGTGAATTTGAACGAAACCCAGAGTGCAGCTGAGGCTAATGGCCATTAGTTGTGCAGGTATTTAACCACAAAACAAAGCACACGGAAGACCAGAGACATGATAAGACTTTGGCAGGACTGTGTTTTGACGTGATGTTGGTAATTCACTGCAATTTATTCTACAGTACACTGCCAGTGGCGGCTGGTGAAAATGTTTGGTGGGGGGGCGCAGTCTGCAAATGACCTTTTATTATACATCAGAAATTAGAATATGAGTGACATCAGACAACTATTTACAGGAATGCAAATGTTCTACCTTTGGATGATATTTTAATCATAATCTAATTTAACATTATTAAGACTGACCAGACCTACATTTCAAAAACATTCATCAAACGTTCATCAATATTTAAAGGATCACAACATAAATAATGAAAAAAACACTATTCAGGGCTCCAGACTAACTTTTCACTGGTAGCACCAGTATGACCCACTTTCTCATTTTGTTGCACCTCCCACCTGGTCACACACAAAACATATGACTTGCTGAACTTTTTCTTATTGACAGACGCTACAGTTTACTGATGCTCCCTAAACACCCCACATAGCAGGCTGCTGTAGCTGCTGTTTGTTGGCTGTGGTGTGCTCTAACAGGTGTGCGACCAAAAATGACTTGAATGAAAATAATAAACTAGGGCGTTCTAATGTCAGATTTGTCTGAGATGAGTTATATGTATTCTACACTCGGTCTTTTCTATGAGCGGAAAAATGCTCTACTTTCCACCACTAGGGTTAACACAGCAGCTTCCTGTGCTGGTTACAGAGAAACTAATACAGCTTCATGATCACCACGCTCATCAAATCACACTCTCAAAAAAAAAAGGTCACAATTGCAGTCTGGAGCTATTTGAACAAAAAATTGGCTCTTCTCTCTTTCTGCTGTGCAAACTTCTTTATTACTTTTTGATTGAAGTCACTCATCTCTGTGAGCAGCCCTTTTCTCCACTGACAGCATGGCCAATGCATTAAGTCATCACGACAGTAGCTGTCACCCAGTAGAAGAGGAGGGGAAAGGCCGTGTGATGGTGTCAGAAAGTGCAGTCATAAGAACGTCAAGACAAAGTTGATTGGCTTACAGCAAAAATGGGGGGGGGGTCCGGGACGCACCAAGCTGCGCCCCGTGAGAAAATCTGCAGCTGCCAATCAGAATCCGGGCCGAGGTCACATGATCACGAAAGGTTTTTCGAGCGGGCTGGCACCCCGCATCCAGGAAGTGTAAAATGGGTAAACACGCAGGAAAGACTAATACTAAATCTGCTAATAATACAAATATTGTTAATATGGCAAAAGAATATGAATGTCATTCATTTTACTATTATTTTGTTATAATTAATTCAAATTTAATATTGTGTTTGAGAACTATTTTTTATCTGGTCATTAGTAGTGGGGCGGCGCCCCTGCACCCTGTATTAACCAGCCGCCACTGTATCAGGCTTGTAAATAAACACTACCCTTTAGACTGAATTTATCAAGATGGATTCACTGTATGATGATATTTTGGGCCTTCTGTGTTGTGTTCTGCGGTTTTTTTACTTTTCCCTTCCCTAAAAGCACTTTGTGTATTTGGAAAGTGTTCTATAAATAGTCTGAGTCTGGTAAGTGGAAAACAATTGGTTGAGTGCTGTCATGAGTTGGAGTGCCTCATATCTCTTAGCTGTAACACATCTGGCTGATACAGTCATTTGTTCACTCACCGATCTTCCTCCAATGACTGGAGAAACTCTGCACTCTTTTTCTGCCTGTAGAGATCCAAATAGATACACTGCAGTTAGCAGAGATTGATGCTGGGAGACTGTATGTATACAGTGAACACAATACAGCTTCCGTCCTCAGGTCCTACCTGTTGTTGTCCATCAGCATGCTGCTGATGCGACTGCTGATGTTGTTTTCAGCTTGCTTGACCTTCTCCAGCACCAGTAGCCTCTCGGCCTCCTGAGCCCTCTGCTGCTGACTGAGCCCCAGCTCCACACGCTCCTGCTCCTAAACATCAGGGACATTTTATACAGTAATGTGTGTGAGGCAAAAACAAACAGAGACAAAAAACTTGCTAAAACACTTCACTGTGTTGTTTGTTCCAGTGTCAGTGTATGAACAGGTGAATTAAACCCACAAGCAATACAAGTTCTAATAAGCACTGATTACATGATTTCTGAGGCTTTTTGTATGCTATCCACCAATTTCTCGTCCACCATTCAGACACTCACATTTAAAGATATTTGAAAAATGCTGAAAAAAGTGACACACCGTGTAAACCAGTTCAGAGATTTCAAAAGTAATGGAAGCATATTTTCTACAATAGCCAACCCTGCACTTAAATACAGTTTGGGATCCTACGTCATTCATTAAAAATTTAGGACATTAACATCATTGTTGGCAACAGCTTCTGTAGTGGTGAGCTACTTAGTTTTCCCACTTTCATAAAAATGTAAACGCAGCACCTTGTAGTATAAAGTGGTTCCTTAATCCTAAGCTTTACTTGAGCTTTTGAATATTTTAGAAACAGTATTAACAATGAATTAGATCAGAACAAAAAATAGTCACTTCATAATGACTGTTTGTGGCCACTTTTGAATCACTACAATAAAAACGGGTGAGTTTTGGAAGAGGAGTATTCTGTTTAGACTGCTGCCAAATGAATCCACCTCTGCTTTGTGTCAACAATCCAGGGTTCTGCTGGTGTTTCAATGTGGGGAATGCTTCCTTAGACAGTTTGGGTCCATAATACCAACATAAAGCCTGCTACCAGCCGAATAATACACCGTGTCACAAGGCAAATGTTGCCTCATGCTGGTTTCACGAACATGACTGAATTCAGTCACTGTACCTGAAACCAGTAGAACAACTCTGGGAGGCAGGAAAACAGAAAATTCATAACATGAATAGCTAATAAACCTGTCACATCTCTGGTATCATTCTCTCTCCTTTTGGGTCTCCTTACATGCACCCCTCTATTACTGTCACAAACATTTCACTGTGATTCAGCAATAAATAAGACTTTCTATGGTCCACTGTGAAATGTTTGTCATGCACCCCTAGTGTTTGTCTTTGTTTCACCTCCTGAGAAGTGCTTTGGATGCTCTTCATACTTTCAGACCTCTACTAAACAGCCTTTTTTGGCAGGACTTCTGCTGACTCGAGTCTTGTGTTGTTTATTCAGCAAATACTGATCTATGGGAGACTGGTGCACTGTCATAAAATAAAAGCCAGAGAGCAAGCGAGTGAGTGTCCTACCTGTCGGACTGAGTTGAGGATGTTTTCTTTGTGGGAAGTATTCATGAGTAGAAGCTGGGTGTGCTCCATTTGCTTTTCCTCCCGGTGACGCTCCAAGGCCAGCTTTTCCTGCTGCTTTTGCACCTGAAGGAGAAACGCAGCAGTGAGATCAAATTTATACAGACATGAGTGTGTGAGAACCTATGGAGGCTGACACTTCAACATAAAAACATCCCTCTGTGGAGCCAATGTCTGAGTGTCCTGAGCTACTGTACAGACATGGCAGCGCAAAATGTCGAGCTCAAAGAGATGAAGGTGGAAGGGGTCATTCTAAGCAAACAAAAAAACACTGATTCATACTTACAGGTGATTATACACTAATGACAATATAATTATGAATACCATATTCCAATTCTGCTGATAGATCTTAATAAATCCAGAGTACTGGTCCTTTATGCTAAGCGACAAACCTACAGTGCATCTGGTCAAAAATCGGTTGCAACTAATAAAAACTACAATTAAAATGAAATATAATCATTAATTAAAACTAAAAAATCCCTGTAAAAACCTAAACAATATGCCGAAATGCTAAAAAAGCTAAAAAAGCTAAAAAAATAAATAAAAAAAAGCAGATTCAGTTTTTTACAGTGTTTGATCAAAGTCAAAGGTGAGCTTGTGTGCTTGAGCTGCAATGAGGGATTATATATGTGGAAAAAACTTTTAAATATGTAACTTTGATACACAAAGATGAGTTTTTAGGGGTTTAATCAATGACTGTAGAAGGGCTCTGATGTTAAAATATGGAATAGTGCAGCTTTAATTACAAAAATTAAAACAAAAAAGTGAGACAGCTCAAAACCATCCCCAAAGAGAGTGTGCCAGAGAAGGGGGAGGAAAGATGAGCTGAAACTAACAGTGATTGCATTAATTGTGTGCAACAGAGTTACAAACCTTTCTCTTCTCATAGTCACTGAATTTGTTCTGCAACAAAGATTGAGGAAAGGCAGAGTGAGACTTCCACTATTGTTAACAGAAACCAAAAAAGATAGCACAAGCAACAATAAACAAGATACAAGCAAACAGCTATACACAGAAATAAAACTGACTTTTCACTGCTTTGTATGGCTGTGTGTGTTAGCGCGTCATCTGCTATACCTGCCAGGCTTCCTCCAAGCCGTCCAGACAGTCAGAGCTCTGTTTGCAACAGTCGCTCTCCAGCACTGGCAGGAGATACTGGGATGGCGGGCAGTATTCTTCTCCCAGCTCTGAAAAACCATATCAACCAAGATAATCAACCATATTATTCAGTGCATTGAATGATACTTTTCTTCATTACAGTGACCACAGCCAGCGTGGTTGATCCTCAAGTTACTCTATGACTGTATCTTTAATCTCTAAAGAGTAGCTCAGAGTCATGTTAATGCACAGTGGACTGTAGATTTTAAATTTCATATTAATTAAATATCACATTTTAATTAACTACTCACATTTATAACAATCCCACTATTTAACATAGTAAAAAGGATAAACTACTCATGCATTCAGAACTAAAATTTTAATCCTGGTGCCACCAGGACTGGAGTGTGGAGCAAAGTGCAAAACTCAGATTACAGACAGATGGTCAAGAACAGACTGGAAACACACCTCTAGGAAATAACTCAAATGCTTCATAACAGTATCCTGTTTTATAGGGAAGAATTTCAGATTCATATTTAATAAAAAGGTAATGTGATATGTCATGTTCACAGCTTGGCTTTCTCACGTGCCAGGTGAACGCTTCCTTGAATCACAATCTGTTGTTGTGTAGTCTTAAAGTTTATTCAGGCTGCTGTAAACTTTCTGTGGCAGAACTGACAGCACCACATTGTACTATTTATTGTATTGTATGGAAATTCTGCAAGGTGTTGTGTCCAAATAGATGATCTCTTAATATTTATCTGCACTCCCCGTCTATTGTGTATCTCCTGCCATTTCTGCATCATCTTGTGGCTTCTTTAGTCCTCAACTGACTAAACCTCTTAGAGAAGAGCTGAAATGTCTTCAAGAGCCAAAAAAAAAGTCCAGTTGATTTATACTGAAGTTCTTGGGGTAAACAGAAATATTGTCTTTTTTGTTTATTCTACACATTGTTTTTTTCCTTGTCATAATGCTCGTGACTATGTGCCTCAAAAAGCAATAAAGACGACGTAGGCACATGCAGCAATGCAATGTGTCCCAGGGCAAGCTACAACTGACAGATTCCCAGTGATTTCGCTGTAGAAACTGGATCCGGGTGCAGTAGTACACCTACTTGCTTTGCAGAAAAACATTCAAAACATGTTACTGCAAGATCCCAATGGCACATCAGATTTACTGTAAATACTGAATGATGTTATTGCTGCTGTGCTATGTGCCTCAACTGGGGAGACACGGGCATAAATCCTGCTGCTGTGTGTTCACACAGCACTTTAATAAAGTCAAAGAAAAGGAGTTGAAATTCTGCATTAATTTAGTCAGAGGCAGACACTGGACTGTGGTGCAGTTTAATGCTTGGTCATGAGTGTAAGCAGTAAGTAACATAAAATAAACCCTACCAGTGCAAAGGAAGCGTTGGATGCTCTCTGTTCCTTCTGCACACACAGATGCAGGCGGGTAGGACATCATGGCAGCATCAAGAGTAAAGCTCTGTCGAAGCACACACATGCACATGGTTTCTATCAATACCACCTCTATGGTTTTATCCTTCATGTATTTCTGGACCTTTGACACATACCTCTAACGTGCGGATGTAAGCCAGAGCTTTGGGAAGCTGCACTATGTTGTTGTCACTCACGTCCAGGGTGCGCAGGCTGTTCAAAGAACCAACTGAGGACGGCAGCTCACTGAGACTGTTTCCTATGAGACACACAGTGACGGGAAAAACACATTATCATTTGACTTATACGTGCCCTCTTACTTACATTCAAGCAGGCAGTGAGCATCATACCCTTCAAATTGAGTGTCTGCAGGAGCTGCAGATTCCCGATGGACTCTGGCAGGGTCTTCAGGCGGTTCTTCTCAACGTTAAGAATCTGACAGAAGATTACCAAATTTAGATTACGAGTAGCATCCATTTACACTTGTTTTTTGGGTATCTGGAATAGAGTACAGATTTGTTTTACCTGCAGTGCCACCAGCTTCCCAATGTCCTCTGGGAGAGAAGTGAGCTTGTTCTCATGCAGATCCAAAACCTTGGGAAGGAGGCAGATTCGGTCGTTTATATTCCAGTGATGAAGTGGAGACATTTCATATGTAGATTTGTAGTCATAATAATATCAAATCCTTCAGTGCTTGAGACTGAGCTACTTATGACTAATGATTTGAACGGGCTGGAAGTCTCTATGCAATTGAACAAAACCAAAGTGACAAAAACTGAAGGGAAAACATGAGAAGAATGTAACTTGAATGACCATTTCAGCGGTTTCTCACAATCCACCCAGTAGGTTCTGTGTAATAACACCTTAAGTTACCAAATTCACAGTCAAAGTAGATGGCACCTCAGTTTTTAAAGTGGTTTTTCGTATCTTCTGGGACTCAGTGGTTTATGTCAGCGCATCATCAAAATCCACTCACAAACAAATGAAACTTGCCCAACCTAGCGACTTCACAGTGAAACATGTTGGCACGAGTGTAACTTACTGTTATTTAATTTCTGGAGGTTTTAATACTGCTTGCAATTCAGCTGCCACACAGCATTCCATTCAGCAGCAGCAATGTCAGGAAGCTCAATAAGCAATATTAATACTGGTCACAATTTGGTCAGTTAATTAAAAGTCATTATGTCGACCTCAACTATGGAGGACACTTTTGAAAAAATCTGGATATGATGATGTGGGGTTCTGATTGCAATTCTAGAGAACAACTGGAGAAGGGACACTGCCCAAAAACACCAAACACCAAACTGATGAACCAACAGCAGCTGCCGATGGAACAGTCACACATGCCAGACTACACAATCCACAGTTGAATGTTTTTGCATGTGAGTCCCTGTGTTTTGGACAGGGGTGTAGTTTGCTGTCCTGCTTAATGACACAGAGGGAATGTGTTTCTCCGCCATTGAAATTAGTCCTAGTTTGGAAAATTCTTCTAAAGGCAAAATCATGATTACAGCGAGTATCATCTCAACATCTTACTTACTCTTACCCAATACCAAGTCTAAGCTGTGTGGTCTACAGGCTAAAAAGGCCCCTGAGACTGTAGATCCAAACCTCCTGGTGCTGCCAAGGCAACAATAAAGCAAAAAAAAAAAAAAAACAAAAAAACACACAGCTAAACTACTGTTCAACAATGGCGCTATAAACAAATGAATCATCTGCATAAGACGGGGTCTTTGCTTAAAGGTTGATGATGAAGAAGCAAGATTTATTCTCCTGTATGTGTCATGAAGGCACTTTGAGTCAAACTATCTTGTCTGTAAATCTTTAAAAGCGTTAAAAAAATTTTTTTTTTTAAAAACAGTTTTCAAATCGTACAACACCATTATTAAGCATGCAAGTGTCTCATCATGCTAATGTCTGGTTTACCTTTAGAGTGGAGAGTGAGCTGATGTCACACCCTTTGGGCACCAGATTCTTCAGCTCATTGTTATGGAGGATAAGAACCTGAAGGAGACGAACAGAGGACATGCACATGTTGACTCATGGGAACTGTATCCACCAGACTGACACATGTACTCAGGCCCTTTTACTTTTTGCACACTTGGTTGTGTTTTGAAATTTGAAATTTTTTGAGGCGTTTTCACATCATGAGCAAACTAAGCAGCCAATGTCATGGATAAGCATTTTAACACTAAAACTGCAGTGTATTGATGACAGTGTTAAAAACATGGATTCAGAGTCCTGACGTTACATTTGTAACAAACCCCAGGAACCGATCCTGGTGACTTACAGAACGGGACTTTCTGCATCATTATTCTTCTTCAGAATTGGCTTCCAGTTCGTTTGGCTGATTTACTCAGTATTACAGCTTGCCATTGTCCGGCATAGAGTACTTTTACAATATTTGAGCATAGTCATAGATGAGCTAGTGTGCTCCGAAATGCAGCAAGTGGGGAGGGATGTGTGGAGAGAGATAAGGACGACATGTATCTGCACATTCTAGAGGAAGCCAGAGTGTAGAGCTACATCTAAGCCATTTTAAGGTGGGAAGGAATTAAGTTCATTAAAACAAAATCTAAACATTCAACTTTGATACACAGAGATAAGTTTTAGAGGCTTAATCAACAACTTTAATTTTAGGAATGTTTACAAATTCTTTATAAACAGACAACTGAAACCTTTACTTACAAAAATATCCAGACCCTAAATTCAGTATTTTGTAGAAGCTGTTTTGTTTCAAATACAGTTTAAAATCTTCTCAGGTAAATCTGCAGAGGTTTTGAACATGTGGATTTAGGCAGTTTGTCCCATTCTTTCTCAGGTTCTATCACATTGGATGGAAAGCGTCTGAACTGCCATTTGTAGGTCTCTGCACAGATGCTCTGTGAGTTTAGGTTTGACTCTCCTCCAGCCAAAGCCCAGAGACTTGTCCTCAAGCCACTCTTGTGCCCTTTTGTCTGTTTGCTTTAGGATTTATGACATGTTTGTTCATAAATATAATTTCAAACTCCATGTTGCATTCTTACCTTCTTCTGCAGCACCTTACAAATGGAAAAGGCACTCGAGGGGACCTGTGGCATAACAGATCACACAGTACAGGTTATTATGTGCAGTATGGAATGACATACATTTCACTAACAGCTTTTCCCTCATTTGTATCATCTTCTCCATATTAAACTCTCCCCACCTTCTAAAACTTGAGTTTCTACGGTGGGGCCTGCATTTTTAACACAGTAAAACTTAACTGTTAGTTTTACAGAAGAGCAAACACCTTCTGTTATCTCAGAAGAAATGTAATTACTGTAAGGTGATAACATTTAGAAGTACTGACATTTGAGTGATATTGCACACTCACTTACTTTTGTTATATACTGCAATTACAGTTTCAGTGATTCACTAAAATCTCCGTTAACAGTGTCCTCTTACTGTTTAACTATCATAATCCAGGTAAGGTCAGATGCAGTCACCGGTGTTGCTTTCAGGTTTTAACAAGCACTCACAGCAAAAACCAGTAGCAAATGTGACACGACTTTACTGCCCCAGAGTTTGCTGTATTCAGCCTGATGAGATAAGCTGCTTCAGGAAGAACCACAATCACCACAAAGAAAATGATCACTCCCTGTTACAGTGTGATTTACAAGTGACAGTAATTACAACATACTCCTAAACATTATGTTTCTGAGTTTTGGACAGAAGCAGGATAGCTGTTTGTAGTCTTTACACTAAGCTAGTCTAACAATTCTGACTCTGGCTCATTGAAATCCTCTAAATCTCCTCTTGGAAAAAAAAAAAAAGGAAAAAATGGAAAAAGAATATAAATGAGATGCAATTCATTTAAGGTAGCTCATTAGTACTGTATATGTAAACTCTTTTCAGACAGGCCGTCCATCCTGTTTTTCAGATGGCAACTGAGCGTGTCTGAATGCACATCCTGGTCACTATTTCATAAGTCACGTCGGCAATCTTTCTAGATCAGACCTAGTAACATTTCACTTTCAACACAACACAAGTCTAAACTCCACTGTCACATTAACAAAAAGACACACACAAGCAACGGTACTTTGAGTTGTGTAAAGTAATTTAGGGAAGGATTTTTT